AGGTGATTGGGGGCTGGGGGGGGAAGGGGTGGTGGTGTGTTTTTTGGGTTGGGGATGTTTAGTGTGGAATGTGATTGGGATGGGGAGAGTGAGGTTCTGAGATAGTGTGAGGTTGTGGGAGGTATTTAATACTGTTTCGTCCTCGTCTTGATTGTTGCTCTTAGAGTCCATACTTTATACGATATATATGGAGGAGGGAGAGTTAGGAGTAGGAGGTGATTGTATTGGGTTTTGAGTAGAGTAGAGTAGAGTGCTTAGTGCGAATGTATATATATGCTGGATTTATTAATACTAATCACGCTCTCGTATAGATGATACTTACTTTAATACTTATACGATATAGTAGGAGTTAAGAGCTCCATTTTCTTACGGACCTTGATACTCCCTATAACACTTCCTAGCAAGCTTCCATCCATATACCTAGAGTCGTTAGGATATTTTACGCCGCAAGACAGCTTGTAATAGATAAGTAGAGTAGTAGGAAAGAAGGGGATGTGAATGATCAGTCTTTTGAGATGTCTATATGGATTTAGCTCCCGTGATATCTTTAGTGTATTGAAACTAATGAATTACGTAAGAAAGGTGTTTTGTTTTCGTCCTTGTAGCTCCGTCTAACACTCCTTTAGGGTTTCTACTAGGTAATTAGAGTTGTAGCTCTCTTGGTTCCTGTTCTGGGCTACTTTTTAGATAGAGGGTTCGCTTGTGCTAATTGCTAAGTGTAATTTTGGAGGAAACCTGAGGGAGATCTAATGACTTATCTTGGGTAGTTTAAATGGTATATACTCCGATAATATCATTTCATGAATAGCTAAAGCTAGTAAAAAAATGATAGCGTCATCTTTTGGCAAACATTTGCTGTGATTGCTAATCGTAGAGCTTACCAAGATTCGAAAAGTTTTCAATAAGAACGTTTAGGACAGTTCGTTAACCTGATTGTGTAATTCTTATCTAGCAATCTATGTCATCTATAAAGGTTGTTATAAAAGCATAATTTGATAAAAGTGACGGATTCAACAGAACCTGGGAATGATTATATCATGTGGCTGGCTCATTCTGACGAACTGTGCTTGCAAGCTAGTTAGTACTGAGTATAAGATCCGTTTAACTGTGTTAAGTTCCCATACGTAGCTGGTGTTCTCTTACGGTTTTATCTTTATCTTCGCACATTCTTCCCTTCACCTTAGACTCCAACTTCACTTCACCACAGAACTGCAAGCATTACAGTGCCGACATGACTGAATCAGAAACCCCTGATATTCCTGTTCGTCAACCTATTCTTGACCCTGTTATCACTGTAGAAAGTTTAGGCAACCAGCAGGCTTCACATACTCAAGTACAGTCAGTTGCGAATTAAGCTTAATTTTCCGGGATTTTCTGTAATCCGTGCTTTTTTGGTGGCCTAACTACTAAAAAAGAAAGCTAGCGTAAAATCTTATAAAATCGTCAATTCTAATATATATTTGATTCCTTTATATATACTAATATGTCTAAAGTACCTAGATATACCCTACGCGGCTGTCACGAATCACGTGTTCACGTGATGTCTGTTCCTAATAAGGTTCAACCCCAGAGCAGACTCGTCCAGGAAGTTATAGTAAAACAAGATCGTTTAGGCTAGCTAAGCGATCCAGGGATTTCTTTGTATCTAAGTTGTCACGTGATCAAAATAGCTACGGATAGCCAGCTATTTGTGGGAACATAGAATAGCCAGCTATCTACAGCTATTCTATGAGGACGAAGGTTCTATATAAGACTGGCACGTCTGCCATTAGATAGGAGCTTCGTGTTAGGCTAGCTAAGCGATCCAGGGATTTCTTTGTATCTAAGTTGTCACGTGATCAAAATAGCTACGGATAGCCAGCTATTTGTGGGAACATAGAATAGCCAGCTATCTACAGCTATTCTATGAGGACGAAGGTTCTATATAAGACTGGCACGTCTGCCATTAGATAGGAGCTTCGTGCTCAACTTAGTTATCAATCTTATCATATTAGTTTGACATCTTTGATACAAGTAACGAGTTCACTTCCAAGTGAACAACCCGATAGTCTTCTTCTTATCATAGCATACCAACCAGCGAACACCCAGCCAAGTTTAGTTAGCCAGTTTGAGTATTCGTTACACCTACCTATATAACTAGTTAAGATTAATTAAGTTAGAATAGGTCTAGTACTAGAAGATGATAAGGAAGTAGCTAAGCCTAATTTTTCTAAGTCGAGAAAAGAATAGCTCTTAGTCGTAGTTAGGAACTAAGAGTAAAAGAAATATTAGTAAAGGGATAGAAGAAGGTAAAGAAAGTAATAAATAGAAACCTTATATATATAAGTTAGATATAATTCTTTAAAAAACTTTTAAAACCTTTACTCTTATTAATAAGAAGTACTAATACTATACTATAATAAATAGAGACTTTATAAAGGGGCTAGGTCTTATATTTATTAGTAATAAAAAATAAAAGATAAAAGGAGCCTCTTTAGCTATATATAATTCTAAGGTTAAGAGAGTAGTCGCCCTTCGAATAAATATAGCCGGATATAGCTAAGTAGTATATATATATATAATAGTAAACTTAGACTTCCTAATAATTCTTAGAAACCTATAGAAGGCGTATAATAAGATATAGACTACGCTAGAAAAATAATAGTTCTATTATACTTGATACTGATTTCATCCTCGTAAAGGCCACAGACGATAGATTTGTCGTACCTGAGGAAACTGACAGGCTCCCAGATAACCATGATCTACAAATTGAAGCCCATTGGATTATGGAAAACAACGGAATAAAGATAGTTGTTTACTGGCAAACAGTTGAAAGAAGAGAGACACAGAAATTCTGCCTGGATCGCACACCCGTGGTTGATTTTCGACAACATCAAGTACTTGAAAAGCGAGTGTTCGAAGAGAACTTTCATCACAAAATTCAAGGTCGCGATAAGAACGAAGGAATGTACGTCAAAAGGCTCAAAAGGAACCCGTCACTAAAGTTCCGCATACACTTGGGACCCTGGCTGGATAAGGATGTCTTTGGACATCCAATACCGAGTTCACAGCCAATTTGTGTCCAGTGGGGTGTGATAGGCGAGGACCTCGACGCAGAGGAGAACTGGCACCTTGCATTGCCCAATTGATACACTAAGAGATACCGAGTTCGCGGCAGTCACAACCGGTGGACAGAGTCAAGTGCATCGGGGCCAATGCAACTAATAAACCTTTGTTCGGCTGTTTAGGAAAAATGGGAGAAAAGGGGGGAGAAACAATAGATGGATCAATAAGAGTTAATATGATAATGAGGTAATAGCTACATGATGTACAGAGATTTTGCGACCTGTTTCATGGGATGAGTGTTATGATAGAAATCAAGTGCTGCTCTTTGTCTCTAAGTTAACATCAAACAAGATAGTCTTTGAGAGTTCCTAAAATCCCTACAATTGATAGACCGGACGTGGATCCGACAAAACTTGGAAGTAATCTATTTGTGTAGCTAGCTCATCCTGACGAAGAACCACTTGCATGCTAACCCTTTCAAGGAACAATGGACAGCAAGCGTTATCTTATACTATATAGGTTGAATGTAAGGTGTAATTACAATTCTGTTTAATTTTGAGAAATTGGCGGATTCAACGAGAAAACTGGAGTGTAGGCCGAAATAACAGGACGACTCGCGAGATATACGCGTGGAATGGGCTTGAGCAGAAGATGACTTAGCAAAGTATAAGAACTGGCATGCTGCTTACAAAATTTGCCCTCATGAAGTTCGTCAGACGGGCTTCATGGGACCCCAAACCCTGTCTAGACAAGCCCTAGCACAGGTTAATTGGGTTGATTCTTCTTCTTGATGAAACTTAAAGGAGGCTCTGCTCAGCAGCTAAGGAGGAAAGGAGGAGAAGAAGAAGAAGAAGAATATATTAATTACGAAACAGTGGGATACTAAGAAGGTGATGATCAGGGGATGGAGTCAGCGTTTGCGACTGGTTTAATAGGAGTAGTATTTGTGGTGGAGAGTATATATAATGTTCCTCTGTCTTTCACTAGATCATAAGGCACATTATGTGCCGCACACAAGAGGAGTTGGAGTTTTTGGGCATCTCCTTCTAGATCAGTTAACCATCAAGTGACTACACCGTAACTAATAGAAAAGACACAATTCTGAATTTGTATGCCAGCTCCTGGACGTATTTAAAAGAAGCGAGTTTGAGTTTCATCTTATTGCTATGTTTCAATTGTGTGTTCTAGAACAGAAGCTGCAATCAATTATTGCTATGTTTCAATTGTGTGTTCTAGAACAGAAGCTGCAATCAATCTTATTGCCACCAACAGAAAACTATCAAAAGAATGGTAAATCCGACGAAAGATAGTTCTCTCTTCTCAGAAAACTCACTCAGTATTGGATTCCATATATGTATATCGCATATTGAAGTTCCGAGTAATGCATCTAGGCTAGATGTATGTATGTATCTGAATATGTACCAAGAGTATTTGGATCATTCTTGTGCCTTGGATAGTCTCTGAGAAATCCCAGATTAGGGAATCCTTCGGCTTTGCAACGTCACCCAGCTAGAGCTTCATCTTTTTTTAATAACTCCTCAATGATTTGGGCGGCGTGCAAACACTTCTCGTCTTCTAGTCGAAGAGCTGAGATCTGGAGTGCACACGGCATACCATCGGAAATCATTGGTATGTCTAGTATTTGCGATTAGGGATATTCAATTTAGCCGAGATATTGATGAACTCACAACTTTCTCCCAAACATGGTTCTACAATGGAGAAGGGGGACGGATCGAGGTCCTTTGATGCATAACTGTATGGTATGAGACAAGCCGGATACTATGATTTACTAGTTAGCAAATTTTAATCGGCCATACAAACCAGGAGTAAGAATGCTCACATCAAGCACGTTCCACATGCAACCGTAGGCCGGCAATTGATATTTATTATGCTAAATTGCCGTATGTTGAGATGCAGGACCAAGAACCACATCCAATTTCTGATGCTTAAAGAGTTCCCGCCACGCTTCTTTATAGGCACGTATCTCAAGGTCCATGGCTGCGATTTCGAGAACTCCGTACGTCTTGGGGTCTTTCTCGGCTCTTCGACGTGTCCCGCGGAGGAGAGATGGGACCATGGGTTCCCCGCTTACCATGATGTTCTTTATGCAGGTCATAGATGGGTCTAGGATCATTGCTTCAATGGCTAGACGGCCACCTATAGATGCCCTTGTCGATTCCTCATGTTCGAGTTCTATCACTTTGTGACCGGCAGCGGAAATTATTTGGATGGCCTTTTTGACTGGATAGATTTTAGTAAGTCCTGTGACTGAAAGAGTGTGACTAGATTCATGCAAATTGATGATAAGACTTTCAACGGGGAAAAGACTTACTAGCACGCCGGATCGGGGGGTGAAGAGGAAACATTGGGTCTTCAGCAAGTATTCCGATTGTGAGTGGGGTTTCTTTAAGATCTTCGCTCCTCCAGGGTATGGCATGTGCAGCAGAATCATCCAACCAAGGTCTCGAACCCAAAACTGTTGACATAAAAAGTTGGATGTCGGTCAGAGAATTTGCCATTGGTCCTGCGCTAGGAAGAATTCCCGATATTCCCACGACTCCTTTTGCTCCAGGGATAGCTTGACCAGCCCATGGAATTCTTCCAGAAGATGGTTTGAAGTCATAAACACCGCAGTATAGAGAAGGTGTACGAATTGAGCCTTTCTTTTGTTAGGTAAGCTAGCCTTACGTGAACATAATAACGTACCTGCAAGATCAGTGCCTACGCCAAGTACAGATCCTCGAAGTGCGATGAGGGCCCCTTCGCCACCGCTAGAGCCTCCGGCCGTAAGAGACGTATTTCGTGGATTGAGTGTTCTTCCAAAAATATTGTTGGGAGAATCCGCAGTCTTTGGAATTCGTAGTAAGATCTCTCAAATGGGTTCAGGACTTACCAGCACTGCGTGTGGAACATTGGTCTTGACATATAGAACAGCACCTAGATCGAGAAGAGTATCGACCAGCACCGAGTTACTTTGGGCTGGTTCACGATCGAGGAAAGAAACGATTTCGATAGAAGTTTGAAACCCTTTAACGTTAAAGGAATCCTGCAATTGTGTTAGAATGGCAAATTTCAACTTTTCAAGTTTGCCTACTTTGAGACTTATTGGAAGCCCGTGGAGGGGTCCGAGAACCTTCTTATTGATGGCAAGATATCTGTCCAAAAAGGCCGCTCTTTCCTCTGCGTAATTGAACATGATCTCTGTGAGACATGATGTCTGTTATTTCGCCATTAATATGTTTCAAATCAAGGGGGTCAGAAAATGATCCTTGTGGGAAACTACCAATTGTTGAGCAATAGCTGCCCTCTTACAGAAAGCAGTCGTCACCTCTGAAGACGTCAAGGTACCAGTGGATAATAGGTGTAAGAGAGTTTTCGCATCGTGAGATTCTGTGATTTACAACTCTTTCTTGGTCAGAAGCCCACAACTACGTGGAATTTCGAGTACAATTGATGAAACATCGACACGTGAGGGGATAAGCCATTCCTTCGGAATGTTTGCTTTGACTGCCTGCTGCTTTCTAGCAACCTTGCTCTGCCAGGATTCTGGCGTTGAACCATTCATAGTAACGAGGAATAAATATATAATTAAACTTCAGTGATACTGAACTCTCCTGAAATATCATGAACTGGTGATCTTTGCTTTTGAAAAGGGGACAGATTGTGCGGTCAGACTCTCAACACTACTGGAAACTACCGGTAGCCAGCACATTGACGAACCATGGTTGAAACAAATTAACAAAGTGGGATGAATAAGTGCGAGAATGCAAATGGCGTAACCATTGTTGAAATGAAGAAAAACCCCCATGGTTTCTTCTGATAAATGAAACATTCCTTGCCTTGTAAAAAACGGTTGGTAAAGGAGCCTCGAAGGCGACATGCCTCCAGTCGAGCTGAAGAGCAGGAAGGCTACATTATATAGGCGATTCTTCCTAGATCTCATATGCTGTATCGATATGTAGGTCGCTTTATTAGGTCTCATCATGTGCTGAAGGAAGAGACAGTGAAGACTCGGGAAAAATGTTATTAGCCATATGCGAACTTGTGCGAAGACGGTAGACTAATATGTTAGTGTAGGGTGTCGTGTGTACTTTCGTACCCTAGGTACTTTAGGCGAGGCGTGTGGGGTGGGAAAATGCCCGGCAAGCACCAGCCACATACGCCACACTATTTCTCCTTCCAATGAAGCTTCAAGAGAATACAAGAGCATGCCAAACGATTCAAAATGAAACCATACAACTCAGTAAAAGCAATATAACCCACCCAATTCCGCCTAGCTACAGTACTTGTAGCCAGAACCTACCTACCTACCGTCAGGGCGTGACTATTCATCGCTAATTCTTCATGATCCTAGAAGTACACTTAGACATATAAACGATGAACTCTATGAAGCATTAGCGGATCTACCGGTATCGTCGTAGTAATGGCCGAACCGCCGAAAAGCGAAATCTCGGCTTTTCGGCGTTTCGGCGATAGAGATATAAACTGGACCCGACGAGTAGGTAGGTATAAGAATTGCCCCACTTTATATTGACAGAGTGAGCAAGACCTCTCCTCCTCTACCAATAGCCAAGAGGTTCTCTGTCAGCTGCTTAAAAACATTCCATCAACCATCAGAATCTGTGACTGTCAATTATATCCAAATATCCCCAAGTAAGCCTAAACTACCATCCGTCTCCGCCGTGAACGGTGGTGATTATGGATCCATGCGGGCACGTGGGGCATGTCGGTCGAATAAGCCGTTATAATAACATAGAAATGGTTGTTCCCCCTCCATGATTTCCCTCTTTCATTATCAATTGGGAGTTGAAATCAATCATTGGACTATTCCATTCATCCATTTAAAATGGCGACACCAAAACCGTTCCAGATTGCCGTTCCTCAGGAGAAGATCGACAAGTTCAAGTTGAAGCTCTCTTTAGCGGAACTTCCTGATGAACTCGAAGGTGCCGGATGGGACTATGGCGTTCCTTTGGCTGAGATGAAGAGATTGACAAAGGCATACGAGAAATGGGATTGGAGACAGGCAGAAGCACGTTTGAACAAGCTTCCTCAGTATACCACTACCATAAAGGTGGATGGTTATGATGAATTGGATATCCATTTCCTTTGGCAGAAGAGTAAAGTCAAAAATGCCATCCCTCTTTTGATGGTGCACGGCGTATGTCATTTTCTCGTTTCTTGTTATATTTGGTCTACTCCTAATCTAATTGTTTACTTCGCTAATACTAAACTCTGTTTATTTAGTGTAAGCTTTGAATTTCACCCATCTCTGTCTACACACTCATCATACATAGGGCCCGCTTCATTCATCGAATTCCAACACATCCTTCCTCTCCTTGCAGATAATCCCGACGGCCCAGCCTTCCACATTGTCGCTCCATCCCTCCCAAACTTCGGCTTCAGCTCCGGCGTAAAAACCCGTGGCTTTGCACCCCCCAAATACAGCGAGACCCTCCACAAACTCATGCTCTCATTGGGATACACCGAATACGCAACCCAAGGTGGAGATTGGGGGTATTTCATCACCAGAATAATGGGACGTACGTACCCAGAATCCGTCAAGGCATCCCACATCAACACCATGGCATGTAATCCCCCGGAAAACTTCGACTACTCCACTCTCACAGAAAGGGAGAAAGCAGGACTCGACCGATCAGCCTGGTTCGTAAAAGAAGGCCAGGGCTATTATCACCAACAAACTACGCAACCACAAACGCTAGCTTACGCACTGAACGACTCCCCCGTTGCTCTACTAGCCTGGATCTATGACAAATTGCATTTTTGGACAGACAGTTATCCATGGACCGACGATGAGATTTTCACTTGGATTAGTGTCTACGCTTATAGCAGGGCTGGACCGGGAGCTTCCTTGAGAATTTACTACGAGCATGTGCATGGGGAGGGTGACAATGACCTTCTGGGTGCTGCGACTTATGTTCCGCATGTCAAATTGGGACTTGGTACGATGAACTATTCTTTTTGTGTCCCTACCATCATTTTCCTTCTTCTTGTTCTCTTGCTCACAGACGTATATAGCACATAACCCCAAAGAGATGTCAGCCCAACCCATCTCCTGGTCGAGACAAATGGGCCCAATTGTCTACGACAGCGTTCATGATTCGGGTGGTCATTTCATGGCATCTGAGAGGCCTCACTATCTAGCCAAGGATTTGAAAACAATGTTTGGGAAAGAGGGTGGCGCTTTTGGTGCTGTGCCTGGTAAGAATGGGTATGATGCTTAAAAGTTTGCCTGTTCTCTAGTTATGTAATTTTGTCATCTTCCCTTTGGGATGGGCTGCTGAGTTCAAGAATGACAAAAATCGAATGCTCTATAAGAATCGCGTAGCTCTCTAGAGAACATTTTTATTTACTATATTATTATAGTCTATAGAGTACGATATCTTATACACTCCCTGTCCTACTAAGTATTCCACAAGTCGTATAGAATCATTCTTTAATACACTGTCAGAAAACGAGGGTATAATATAGAATGGATAAACTAGAATAGAGAGAGAAGCTAGCTGAGTTCAAGAATGACAAAAATTGAATACTCTATATAACTGCGCAGCTCCTCAGAGAACATGTTTGTTTGCTGTGTTATTATAGTCCATGGAGTGCGATATCTTATACTCTCCCTGTCCTACGAAGTATTCCACAGGTCGTATAGAATCGTTCTTTAATATACTAATAGAAGACTAGGGTATAATATAGAATGGATAAACTAGAATAGAGAGAGAAGGTAGCTAACGGAGTAGAAGGCTCTAGAGTACTAAGTATCTACTTAAATAACCGAGATAGGGGTTAGGTAGTAGAGATAGGAGTATAAGAGTCTTGTACTATAATAATTACCGCTATAAAATCGAGAGACGATACCCTAGCGTTACTAATCCCTCTATAGACAAGACTCTTAAAAAGTACTTATCCGAGAAAAAAAGTAGATTTTTATACTTGTCGCTTTATCTCCTCGACGCCTCGTATATATATTTTAAATTTTAGGTTTAAGGTATTTATTTACTTTTACTCTTAGTCCTTAATAATAGTACTCTTTAGTTAGTACGAAGTAAGTCGAACACCTAGCCCCGTAGCGCGTCTAGGCATTATTCCGATCGCTCCGACCGTTCGAATAGGAAATCGTAAACCTAAAATCTAATATATATATATAGGGCGTCGTAGAGATAACATATAAATAATTATTAGCTAGCTCCGAGCGTAGCTGCTCCTTCGGGATTAGCGTGCTCCACTAGAGTACTATGGCACCTATAAGTACGTAGGCACTTAGCTAGCTACACTTGCTTCGGCATGCAACCTGAGACTTAGTTATTACCCTTAGTAATATAGGTCTTTTACATCACACTTTATTGACGATAAGTTAAACTAATAATACTATTAAATCTAAATCTATCAACGTATCTAAACTCTCCCCCCTAAAGCTCTACTACTCTGTGAGAAAACTACCTACTTACAGTACCTACCAACCCAAGTCCCTCGCAAATCCCTCACACCATCAAATGACAAACCTACACTACACGAGCACAAACCCCTACCCCTTCCTTTCCCTTACCTTCCACACCCGGATCACTTCCAACTTCTACATTTCACATTTTAAAGTACAACGTCAAAAACGTCTTCAACGTCCCTACATCTTCACAAAGAACCTTACAATTCAAAGGAGAATAGTATATACGCCAGGGCATAGATCTATATATCTCATATTTTCTAGAAGGGGTCCTGCATTCCAACCCCTTCTCGTTACGGGCTGTGATGTGGTCGTGTTGATATGATAAGAGGAGAGGAGAGGAGAGAAATACAATGTAGTGTAGTTTAGAGGATCTAGAGATGGAGAGGACGTAAGTGGAGAGAAGGAGAGAGGAATGGAGGATTCTGGAAATTGGTACCCCCTTTGGAAAGGAAAGGAAGATGAGAGAGAGGAGAGGAGAGAGAAGTGGTTCATATACTAAGGCTGTTGTACAATTTAGGAACTTGGGAAGCGGCGAAGCGAAGAGAGAAGAGAGAAGAGAGAAATTACAAGAGAGAAATTACAAGACAGAAGAAGAGAAGAGAGAAATTACATACCATCCCCTTATCTACATACAAGCTCCTAAAAACACAGTACATTACCTATCCTCTCAACTTTCAAAAATACAACCAGGTAACTAGAGGACCTCGGTAAACTTCAAGGTCGTATAGTAAGTAGTATACTCGTATATTATGTTATAGTGTTATTGTGATTGGTATTCTAATATAAGATTTCCCGTTGTGGATCTTGGTTTGGCGTGGTATGGTAGGCACTGGGTGTATGAGGATGTAAAGAGAAAGGGAAGGGAAGGGGAAATAGGTGGTAGCTTATGTGAGTACTTTGGTGGATGTCGTAATAGTATACATGTAGTATATAGTTGAAAATACTATGTGAACACATCTATCCGTATTAATGCCAAATCATACTGTACATACCAAGTGGCCTTTTAAGTGTGAGCTAAACTAATAGTAATTCAATTCGATTCGTAATATACCCTACAATTAACACTCCCGTCCCTGATTTACCAACCATAAAGGTAGGTAGATACTTACTCCAAGGCCAAACAAAAAGGCACATAAACCGAACAAAAATAAAAAAAACGCCACAATACAAAGCAAAAAGGCGGTGTAGAGTAGAGGAGGGGGTGTGATGGCATGGCGATCATATGCCCTTTATGAAAATTCCGACCGTCCAATCCCACCCAATTTCCCCATCCCATCTACTGTAACAAAACCCCAGATTGTTTGCTTTCCAGTCGCTGGAGAGAGGAGAAGAAGGATGTTCCTAGTTTCCATTTGAGCTGTTTTTGTTTGTTTTTTGCTTTTTTGCTCAGTTCTTTTATGCTGAGGATGGGAAGGAAGGAGGAGAGGGCTTGAGAGATAATGCAGTCATCAGAGATACATAGGCAGGTGGTGTGGTGTGGGGGAGGAGTTTGGTACTGGGTTATTATGTATGTACTGTACGGAGATAACAAGCCATCGATCGAGTACATTCCTCTCTTTTCGTCTTTTTCTCCAGATTCTCGTGGTGGAGACGTGATGGGAGGATATGATATGATATGGAGTCACCATCACCTCAGCCTTGTGATGGAAAGATGCATGGGATGGGGCCAGGCCAGATGCGAATGGGATCTTGATCTTCATCGACAGATATGGAAAGAAGGTTGGCTCAGTTGGTCAGTAAATGCAGTCTGGCTAGGCTACTGTAGGTGGGTAACCATAATTGTTTGTCATCCTCACCCGCGGATTCACAATGATGCATCATTTGGTCATCGTAGGTAGGCAAGGCAAGGCTGATTAGATATCGCGCATCCTTCGCATCGCACGCAATCACAGAGCAGCTTCTATGAAGTAAAGTTTCGAAGAGCCGTGTCCGGGAAGGGACAGATGAATGGACGAAAGGGTGATATGGCAGCCGGGTGTTGTACTAGATGGCCGTTGAGATACTGAACCAAACCCCTCACGAGGCTTATTTTTGAACTTTCTGGCTTTGGAGTTCATGCGATGCTGGATATTAATCAGATTGCCATTCGACGGCAGCTTAGAGGCGTTGTCTGTGAGTGGTGGTGAGAAGGGCAATTCACGGCAAGCATTTCAGGGTTTGCAAGGGCCGCATTTTGGAGAGGAGGGATGCATAACTTGCATATCGCGATGGCCCCCGCATGCAATGCATAAATCTGCACTACAATTGACCCCGCCTATTGGTGCAAAGGTTATCACAGCATCGCCCAAGTTTGGTTGCCTTCTGGAATTCGGACCACCAACGAAGAAAATCCCTCCAAGTGCAAGTCCGTGAGACGGAAATCCACGAGTCGACATTTGACATCGCGACATGATGCCCCCGACTTGGACGTCTACCTCTGCCTCTGCCTCTGCTGGAGGAGGCTACACGACGCCAGTGCGTTGAGATGGTCCCTCCCCATCGTGTTGGTGGTGATGGTGGTAGTCGCCCTCGGGAGATTCAGAGGTTCCCCGTGGGCGGGCGACGATGACTTGCATGGTCATGAGTTGCAAAGGATTCCCAAGCATCCGGGCCCTAGAGGTCGTGGAGTGGCCGTTGCCAATGGCTTGAGCTGTGTATGGGGAATCGTTTCCTGAAATCCGGGTGTTGTGTTTTTCTGATGTCAAGGTCGCCTGAAACACGGGATGATGGTCAACGAGAGCAAATATGAACAGGTATATCAGCGACCAAGGAGGGTATAAGAGGGTCGGTTGGCTGGCCGCTGGCGTAAGCTCAACCCCCTCGCCTCGCTCTTCCATTGGCAGTACTGCCTGTACACAGCGACCCCGACATGAGAGGAGGACGAATGGCGGGTATTTCTACGCAGCTCTAGCCATTCGTAGGTTAGATATATATCTCCTAATCTCCAATGCATACCATTTCTTCGCCACAGGGTATCTCCAGCGTTGGAGGAGACGCCTGTGGTCGATAAACGTTTTCTGGTGTGGCTCCTATTGGTGGCTGCTGAACCAGTGGTTTGGCAACATTGTCAATTTCTATAGCTCAGGCAGAGGCAGTGACTTTGGGGCAGTGATGCCGCGGTATCGCACGAAGGATCTCTCGTGTGACCAGACGACCAGCCAGCGTAAAAGGGGGCAGAGAGACGGAAGCGAGAACAGGCAAGCAGGCAGGTAGTCAGAGCATGAATGCGAGTAGTGCCATGCAGCCAGCAGCAAAAGCCAAAAACCCGGCAAGTGCAGAAGCGAGTGGGTGCAGCAGGAGGCGAAGAGTCATCCCCATCTCCATCCCCATCCCCATACTCCGTATGGTGTTACACAGGCCAGCGAGCGAGCTCGCTGGCATTGGTGTAGGTGTTGCTCGTCTCCAGTGTCGCTTCCCAACTACCCAGCTGGCTGATGAATGTGGTGGTTCCGTTATGCCACATTGCTGAGCACAACATATCTCATATCTAGCCGTCGCCTATGAGACGGGCGTTGGCGATGCATCCCTTCCTTCTGCCCTCCCCCCCATCCCGCATTCCCACGCCATCGCTCCAATATCCAATATAGTAACGCACGTCAGTGTGACTGGCAACGCGAATGACTGATTCTGATGCCTCTGCCTCGGCCACTGCTGCTGCTTCGTCCTGAGCCAGACGCGGCGCATTTTTGCACTTTCCATTCGTTTGTATAGCAAGTGTCGGGTAGTCAGGGTTAGTATAGGTTGCCATCAATATTATCCGCCTGTTCTCTCGCTTGCTGGCTTCCTCTCGCTCCAACCTCCACTTCCACCAAACAAACAACCACGCATCCATCGCATTGCATGCTGGCCGCGAGGACGATCTGGTGTATAGTTCGTTGAGCAGACTCATCCATCATCCATCTTCTTCCTCCCTCTTCTCTCCTCCTCTGACGACTTCTCTCTCCCCCTCTTGGCGTCGATTGCCATTGAAAGTTTCGGCCCCGCGGAGTCACCAGTCACCAGTCGCCTGGCTCTCCGTCGTCAGGATCCAAGGAACATATTTAGCATTGCTACCCAACTCGCCGTGCGACAATTAGGCTGAAGAAGTGAACCACAAAAAAATCATCAGGAAGGACCGTTGCCCGGGGCAATTCGTTTGAGCGCGAAAAAAAGGTATTTTGGTTCCCGTTGTCTTTTTTTCTTTCGAGGGACCAGCTCTCACCGAAATACCTTCTTGGAGGTTGCCAAACTACAAATACTCCTTCCTAAGCCGGCTCGACGACGTGCCAGCGGAGCATTCATCCCTCCATACGAGTACATCATACAGGACATTACATCTCATCGACGTCTCCACTGCATCTCCAAACCTGCCACTGCCATTCGAAACGGGAACGGTAACGGTACGGGTACGCTCGCCCAGCCAGGAACGGCCAATTGGTTGGTACCCAAGCCCCGCAGTAGCAGCAACAAGCGCATCAGCAGAACCTCATGAAAATAGCAGTCAGAGCCCGATTGGAAGTATAATCATCGCTCCTCTGCTCCTCTGCTCCGTCTGCTCCGCTCTCCTACATTCTCCCCCCTCGACACACAAAAAAGAGTGTCCGCTCTTGGTCGACATCATCGTCACTGGTACCCTGTGCATCGTGGTGCATCCGCCGCAGACTTCGGTTACAGCGTACAGGACGGTAAGGAGTACAGGACTGTACAGACACTGCGCTGCGGTAGACAGGACCGTACAATACTGCGCTGCGGTAGACAGGACCGTACAGCGTACAGAAGACTGCGCTGCGATAGACACCTGCACCTGCAAAACTCTGGCTCGAGTCTCCGGCAGTGCAACCAGGGAACGGCCGTTGGTGCGACGGCCTCTGAAAAAACATCAGACACCCCGACACAGACACCAACCTAACCATCGGCTCATCCTGGTGTTGTCAGTGACTGACATTCCTGTCCGATATCAGTGGTGCTGCCCGTCAGTTCTCACTGCCCCACTCTCCTCGATTAGCAGCAACCGCTACCTACCCTACGCTACGCTACCCTCGCTACCCTCGCTACTCAAGCGCAAGGGCGATCTGCCGCGGCCCTCCCAAGAAGGCAGCGCAGGCAGGGCTTTTGCTGGCATTGCGGCCTTTGCGAGCAAAAAAAAGTCTGGGAACTTCCCCGTCGTGTCTGCGTCTGCCCTCAAGGTTTTCGGTTCATCCCACCACCACCACTATCATCACCAACCACATCCCAGCACCCAGCACCCACCAGTCATCACCCTCCCATCCACTCCAGCCTCACCATTTAAATATCTCCTCCCCCCTCAACCTAAAAGCAACCCCACCGTCCGCCACCTGGCACTGCGCAGAACCAATCCTCCCTTCGACCCCCATCGCAGCCCAGCCGGATAGGCTGACGCACCGAGCTGGAAGTGGTCACTCACCATGAGTCCCCCCCGCCCTGCCTACGTGGAGTCCATCGACGAGGACTCGGGACGGACGGTGAAAGGCTCCCGACGAAGCGCAAAGGAAAAGTCCAAGGAAAAGAAGCAGCGATCCGACAAGTCCAAAAGGAGCCCTCAGGTCAATTACCTGCCCGCTCCCCCTCCCCCTCTTAAAGAGCGAGCGGTGAGAGAGAAGAACATCCAGGTCGTGACCGAACGAGAAGTGAAGCACGAGAGACGCAACTCAACCTCGAGCACTAGCCCTCTCTCCCCGCGAAAGCATCAGCGTCCACCACTCGCCCACGAGAATAGTCATCAAGCGGACAAGAAAACAAAGGACGATCCAAGTCATTTCGGCCGCGTTCAATCCGTCCCTCGACCAGCCCTTCCAGTGCTCTCGCAATCAATGCAGAATACACTCGTCCACCCTCAGCCTGCCCGGCCTCGTGCGGCAACCTCGAATTCATATCCACGACCGTTGAGCTTCCATGCGACTCAAAATGGCGGTCCTCCATTGTCCAATTCGGCATGGGCCAACTACCAACCAACCCCAACTTATACCTATTCATCCTCACCCAACTATTCCCAAACACCGCAGTACCCGCAGTACTCTGCTCCTACTCCACCGCCTGGGTCAGATTATTTTGGTGCTCAACCTTTGTCTCTGCCTGAGAGACCGGTATCCACGAGACCGTTGTCGTCCAGATTTGAAGCCCCTGCTCGAACAGCATCAGGATTTGGCATGAGGGACCCCTTGGCACACGAGTTCAACCCTTCTTATGACACAGGGTATCACGATGATGGATACGCTTCGTCCAATAATGGTGCCGTGGTGAAGAGGATTAGCATACGGGAGCCATCAAGACCCAAAAGAATGAGTAGAGACTATCACGATTCTCAAACGTATCACGATTCTCAAGACTATCACGAACCTCAAACATATCATGATTCTCAATCATATCACGATTCCCAAACCATGCCACCGCCACCACAACCACGACCCATTCTCCGCCGACCCTGGACGGAGCAGGCAACAAATGGGGAGTACCCGCCGCATGATTCCTATAGAGAGGACCGGGATGAACGAAGTGAGGAACGGTCGATGATCAGAGATCCATCCCGGCCGCGACGAGCAAGTACACGTCGAAGGAAGTCCATGGTAACATACGAACTCCCAGACCCCCATGACCATGACGAAGACCATGAACCAGTGCGGGCGCCACGTACTCGCCGTTCTGATTCACTTCGGCAACCGAAACACGCTTACGACGATATGGTCACTGACCTGGCGGAAATGAACATTGAAACAGCCAACAATAGTCGCCGAAGAAGATCAAGCGTTTATGGAACATCTACAACACATTCGGAGCCAAAGGCCTCTACGAAACAGAGTGGTTACGAGGACAAGATTCGTCAGGCCGCTAACTACCAAGAGGATGTCGCCGGACCCAACATACCGCTGACTGCTGAGGTTTTGAAAAAGCAGGAAAAGCAACGTCGCAAGGCTGGGAGCAGTCAAAGCACCAAGAGTAGTCACAGTCGGGATGAAAGTGATTATAAGAAATCGGTCACCACAAGAACCACGAGGAGCGGAAGTGGTGACAATGATGAAAATTTAACAATCAAACTCAAGGGTACCACGCGGTTGATCGTTGGTGGAGCACAAATTGAGTGCGATGGCGGTGAAATCGAGATCAAGCGGCAGGGTAGTATGAGAAATGGCAGCGAACGGTCGATTTCTGAATATGGAGGCCCAACTCGAGGACAACAACAAATTGATGACCGACGCAGCCGAGTTCATCACCAAATTGAGGATCGGAAAAGCCGAGTCAATCAACAGATTGAGGATCGACGAAGCCGAGTTGAACCAATTGACGACCGACAAAGCCGAGTCAATCAACAAATTGAGGATCGACGAAGCCGTGTTGAACCAATTGACGACCGACAAAGCCGAGGTGATCAACAAATTGAAGATCGACGAAGTCGACCGGATCACGAAGACCGACGGAATCGACGAAATCGAGTTGATCACGAAGAGCGAGTTGATTACGCAGACCGACATTATGAAGACCGACATTATGAAGACCGACATTACGAAGACCGACATTATGAAGACCGACGGAGTCGATTCGATCATGACGATCGACAAAGTCGACATGACCATCCCATGAGCCAACCAAGGCAAAGGGAAAGTTCTCAACACTCTTATACACGATCTCTCAAATATAATGGCGACAACTACTTTTGATCGAGAATCAAGTTTTCTTTGCCGGATGCAAGCGAAGTGCGTTTTTGAGATTTAGCGTTGTAAGCGCTTTTTTGGGCAGGATACCCGTTTGAAGTTTTGGGTTGTTTTTTCTTTTCCACTTCTTGTGCATATAATGGGCGGGCCTGTTGCTTTTTTGGTTCTTCCTGCGTTCTTCCAAAAGTTCAGAGAAGAGGAAAGAGTTTATACCCCCTGGAAAAGCACGTTGGTTCTAAAGCTTTAAAGCTTGAAAATTATTTTGGCGATTGACGATTTAGATTTTTTTCTTTTGTTTCGATTATGAAATGTATGATTGGATGAGATTTATGATTGCGATACCTATTCTACGATGATTGAGAGATTTTATATACCTTTTTTTTTTTGGTTCTTTTCGCTGGCAGATTGGATGATTTTGTTGTGTTTTTCTGGTGGGATATGTTGAAGAGAATTATGGACTTTATAAAGATGATGCAAAACGAGCTTTTTTTCTCTCTTGGCTAGCGATAGCATGTATTCTATCTGCCCTGTCTGCGTCTTCTCATGATTTTTCTCTTCTTGGGTTGAGATTGTATCACTTTCTGCCTTGTGGGGTGGATGCATCTGTACGTCCCGGATAGAGAGAGCGCTTAGTTTAGGAGGTTTGTTTCTTTTCTTTCGCTTGATGGATATGAGATATGGGATCATACTGGATGGGATGGATGGATGGGGTCAATAGGGAACTATGGACTGGACTGGACTGGACGGATGGATGGATGAATCAAAGTTATGATACATGGTGGATTTGGATTTCCCTTCTTTTTTGATTGGTGGAGAATGGAAGTCTGTATGTATGTATGTAGCTGTCTAAAGATAGGTGAGGGCACCCCCCTTTCGCCTCGCTTGGCTAATATACGCGGCTATATACCTTTACTTTAGATAACTTGTAGTTATTCTTTATTGTAGGTATTTGGATGGAAGTTAGGACTCCGGAATTGGAAAGGAAGTTGATGTCTCTCTATACGGATTTTATTTATTAGTAATATATAGAAATATATTATTACGCGTTTAGAGGAAGTAATAGCTTTCCTTACCTACTATGAAGAAAGGGTTCAAAAGGGTATTAAAGGATCTTTGTTAGGTGGCGTATTTCGTGATATATATTCAGCTAAGACCCCAAGGTACGTACTTGATACTTCTAGATGTCGTTGTACAATACACTAGTCCCTAAGGAGCGGAGCAAGCGAGCTGTAACGAATACTCAAACTGGCTAACTAAACTTGGCTGGGTGTTCGCTGGTTGGTATGCTATGATAAGAAGAAGACTATCGGGTTGTTCACTTGGAAGTGAACTCGTTACTTGTATCAAAGATGTCAAACTAATATGATAAGATTGATAACTAAGTTGAGCACGAAGCTCCTATCTAATGGCAGACGTGCCAGTCTTATATAGAACCTTCGTTCCCTGATTGATCGCTCTAGTCGCTCGCCCTGATCGCTTCAGTCGACAGGCGACTCAGGCGACTCAGGCGACTAGATCACGTGATTTTCCAACCAGAAGAAATCCCTGGATCGCTTAGCTAGTCTAACTGATCCCTTTTTGCTATAAGTCCATGGATGTGCTTAACCTGTCAGGACGCCGCCTGGACTTCCTTTGTCACATGCATTGCTACACGTGATTCGTGACACGAGCTAGCGAATATCAACTGGAATTCATCGACATAATCCGATAGAAAAGAAAGGTTCAACTTTCTTCTGCCCAGGAACATGTCATTGTCGCCCACTACGTAGAGATCTTGTCAGCTCCTCGATCTTCTTTTTTATATGTTTATTTCGGTCTGGTTTAGGCGTTGTAGAGTAAGTGGGTGTAGATGTTGGTACTCACGATATCATAATACCCACCACCACCCCTCTCTCCATTCCTTCCCCTCCCTATACTCTCACCACCCGTACCTTCCTCAAATACACTCATATCATATCCCTCCTCAGAGAAAGCCGTGGAATTCGTCAGGCTGGTAGTCGTTAAAGTGGTATCTGGGAATGAGAAGTTGGAGTGGTACAGGTTGGTGGGGAAATGCGTGTCTTTCTGTTTGAAGAGAGAGGAGAGTGTGGGGTCGAAGATGGGGCAGCGGCCGCGGGAGATGGACAGTGTGGTGCTGTGGGATGCTGGGGAGAGGTGGTTAGTGGGGTTTATTTTGGTTGGGGTGTGGGTTTTTGTGGGGGAAGTAGGATGTGGAAAGGAGGAACTCGCTTATTAGCGAGCGCAACATTAGATATAAGGTTAAAGAAAGAAGTGAGGATCCAAACCCCTCTAAGAACGTCACGAGGAAAATGAAAATCACAAAACCCACCATCCAACCCCCCACCCTCAATCAACTCAACCCTTTTCTCATACCCCCTCTTCACACTGCCCAACATCATCCCAAAAACGAACATCCCATCCGGCTCCACCGCATCCTCAATCCTCTCCACCTTCGTCCCAGACAACTGCACAAACCGAAAGCACAAGCACTCCAAATACATCCCCAGCGGCACATTCGTCCGCGTCGTGTTCGCATCCCATCCTAGCACACGAGCCATCACGAAGGTCAAGCGCGAGAGGATGATGACCGCTTGGATCATGCTGCCCCATTGGACGACTGTGAAGGAGTGGTAGGATGAGGATGGCAGCGAGAGGAGGTATTCGAAGTAGATCTTGGAGGCGGTGAGACAGGGTTGGAGATGGGAGGTTAGGGGGTGTGTGGTGGTTTTGGGGTGGGTGCGGTAGGAGCGTCGGAGGAAGCCTAGGTTGTGGCTGTAGATTGAGATGCGGATGAAGCGTGAGGAGAGGCCTATGTTTGCTAGTTGTCAACTGTCAGTGAGAATTCGGCTGGGTGTATGTGTATAAGAGATTATGACGAACGGAGATTTTGGATTTCTGCAGGCACGGAGAGTGTCCATTCTTGTAGTTCGTTCTGGAAAACTTGGGCATTCAGTTCTGCGTTCAGTGCTTCCATATGCGGATCCGCAGCCGGAGGGGTCGAGGTACGAGACCCGGAAATTGTCTCCAGGAGGTGGTTTAGTTGGACGAGTGAACAGAAATCTGTAGGGGCGTAGTCGTCAGGGAAGCTTGTGCTATTCTCGTTCATGGGATTGGTGTATTGAAGATTGTTCGGCTTCTGGAAATCCAATGAAAGACTGCGCCGCGGTTATTAGTGTTTACCTAGAAGGAGAACGTGTGAGAATGAAGCTTACGAAGATGAGAGATAGTAGCAACCGAGGTAGCATTTTTTGGCGGCTCTTGTCCATTTTCCTCCCTCACAGAGACCGGTCATGTCGAAAACGGTGAAGCTTTTGAGATTGAGAGATTCTTGGTCCAGTCCAAGGTCGGTCACAAGACTGATGGCTAGGTTCAAATACATGAATGATTGATTGTTCTTTGGAGTTATGAAGATTGGGTACCTGATAATTAATGTCAGTTATTTTTTCAGGTATATTGATGTCTCCACTGACCAGGCAATGTATATCAACAATCCCTGCAAGAACCCCAGACTCTTCTTCCCCTCCATGATAACCTTGGAACTCAGAACTCGCCTGAATTCATGGTCAAGTTGTGGATACAACTTTGGGTTACGAGTTGAGGAACTCGTCAAAATGGCCAGAAGCAGGAAAGGAGATGTCCTGGAAAGTGACGGAATAGTGGCTTCTTCCGGAATATCTACAAACGGAAAGAATGCTGCCTTGGACCTAAATAAATCCAAGAGCTCCTCGGCATCACTTAGACTTAGCAAACGCTTCTCAATAGGCGAAGGACGAGATGGAGCAATATTCGATTTCTCCGGCACATGTTTATCCTCAACCGGATCTTCATCATCAAAAACAGCTTGATGACTATTGTGAAGTGACACCAAACTCTCTCGCGTATCGGGCGGATTGATGGACGGCAATGTGAGCGAGAATTCCTCGCTGAACATGGGCGTTTGAGCTTTTTCCGTCTTCTCAGACATGGATATTGTCCGACTGTAACTCAATATCAGTATCGTTCGAAAGTGGAGTATCTCTCGACCCACGCATTCCGAATCCTCATAGGGCGCGCCTTGGCTCGTATGACACAGCGAGTACCACTATACTCGCACTTCTGGCATATGGTTTGCTCGGGCGTGTAGAGACATTTGCTCTTGCTTGCTCGGCATGCTTCACAGGCGCCTGAGTAGATTGTCGGTCAGCTGAAAGTGTTTGTATATCCGTAGCCTATGGATCCATTCATAAACAACATCCCCTCCGACTTTCTCAAAGTAGAACTATATGCCGTTATATGGTAGGTTGAAACCCCACGTTATTTCCGCACTTCGGAAATAGCTGGAGAACTGCCCGTTGGAGTTTCCCCATTCTCGGATATCGAAGAAAATTAATGAATCCCACAAATATTTGTATCCTTCGTTAAATCAAGGCGGTTTGGGTGGGAACAGTTGTATTGGTATTGAAGCTTAAATTGACCCAAAATACATCTGCCCAGACATGACATGGAGAAAGGCAAACTTACGAGCATTTCTTGTCTTTGGGACTGTAGCATTTTCAACCATTTTGAACCAAGTGCTATCCCGGATGGAGAATTTGGAAGTTTGAAAGAGGAGGTTGAGTTGAAATGTTTGTCAGAGGCATTTGATGATGGGGTTTTGGGAAACTCGGATGTAGCCGCCGGATATAGATTTTGAAAAGCGGCACCGAATTTTGGAGTGTGTGCTTCATCCCGTAGTGGCTAATTTGAATCTATTCTAATGCCGCTTTTGATAGTCAGCACGAAAGTGGCGCAAACAAGTCTCCGATGTCCGACATGTACTTTTTTAGTATATCGTTTGCTGACTCTCTGTAGGTGGGAATCAATTATGACCCAGCTATGGTCTTGTCAATTATACAAAAGCATTGATTCTGCTGAAATTTATAAAGTTGTGACCAAACTTTTGAATCTTGTTTCGTTTACTTTATTAACCTAAAGGTTTGGAACAATAATAAATTGAAGTAATGGATAAGTAAATATTGTAGATACTTATAATCTTTTGTCCCAAAACATTCCACTGGGAGATTTGAGCAATTTTATTCTGAAAACAAAGTAGCGATCGATGAATGATTGAGTGAATTCAATTTACCTCAATTGCTACAATACCCGCATATCCGCCATACAAGCCCGATGATCAGAAAGATAAATCCCATCATCGAAGCGATTTGATAAAACGCCGTAGGTAAGCAATACATCATGGTTGCCTTTCCTGGAGAATATGAAATCAATGCGACTTGGTATGTTATCAACATGACCAAAGGATGTAAATGTGAGTCCATTGCCATATCGTTCCTCCTTTGGAAGTAGCATACCAAGCTCTTGCATCGCTGATTGAGAACCCGTCATAATCTGGTAGGCGCCATCATTGGGAGAACTATTGAAGTCTCCAGCAAGAAGAACACTGGAATAATCCCGAGCTTTCGCTTCGACCTCGATGATTTCGAGAATGATTTTGGCGCTCTCCTGCCGCGATATGGAACCTTGATCATCAAAGTGAGTACTCATGATCAGGATGAGCTTGCCAGACCTGAGATGTTCCAATGTACCGATGTAACAATTCGAATACTAGCTGCATCCCAACCTTTGGATGGAGTGGTTGGGGTTTCGCTCAGCCATACGGTTCGCCACTCTACTACTTTCCAGATGTTGCTTCGATAAATGATAGGCGAGTACTCCCCAGCTTCTTTACCATCATCTCGTCCGACACCAACATAAGCCCATTTTCCATCACTGGCCGAGCTATTTAGAGAGGCCATGATATCGACTAGCTGGGTATGGAGAACCTCTTGAAGGCAGATCACCGTTTCTGGAGTAGTCGTGGAATTAAATATGAGTTGAGAGCAGAGTCTAGGACGGCGAATGGGCCATGGTTCTTCGCCCTCGAAAGGAGTTTGGGTAGCATATCGGATATTGTGCGTGATGATTCTGAGATTGATTGGGTTCTGCTCATCGATCGAATAGCTTTCGCCACCGACTTTGGGGATTCGATTTTGCGCCATGATGCGGATTTCATGAAGTGCCAGTCCTACATTGTTGCCAAGTACAATTTCAAAGATTGGCTCCACGAACTCTCAGCGTGATGAATTTTGGTCAGGTATTGTTTCGGGCGTGTTGGTCGTGTGAGCTTGGTTGCTCGTGGCTTGGTGGAGTGGATGAATTCGGCACTCAAAAGCTCGGCCCGGATACCGGTCCGAGAACCGCTACCGTCCCCATTACCCTCCCCGTTCCCAACCAGGTCCGTCTTCTTTTCTTTCCAACATGACCGCTCCCATCTTACCAGCCACACGTGCGACTACTATCACAGCCATCATTAGTCGGCATTATTTCCAAGTTTTGCGAGGTCTGGTCACCCGTAGTACATCGATGAATTATGCTTGCGGTCAAGATCTTCACCGATTACCGTTCCCGGGAACCGCCATATTTCAAGCTTTCTTTACTTTGTCACAATTTATTAATTCGGTGTTTGAGTACAGAGACTTAGCCGTGGGCGGTGGAGGCTGGTTTGGCACTGCCCTACCGTTTGCGGATTGTTACATCGATCGTACTTCGCTGCAACGGCGTTGCCTTTGTTGCTTTATCGAGGCTTGCTTGACTATTTTTGTATTCAGATACACATGTGAAGCGAGCCTCCTATTTCTTTCTTAGCTTGCTAATAAATTCACTTCCCTCCCTCCTGTGATTTTTCAATTCTCAACTCACTTTTAATTATTCGCTCGCTCAAATTTCCGACCAGCTCAAAATCTCAACCTCTCTCTTGTCTTTATTCTAACACCAAAAACTCTACTCTCATAATATGCATATCAAAAACTTTCTCCTGGCTGCATTCGCCAGTGTTTAGGTTGCTGTAAGCTGATATCCGTGGTATGGATTGATGTCAGGAAGCTGATGATGTTTAGGCCCAAGACAGTACTGCACCATTCCCGACAGGCAGTAACGTAACGTCAACTACTATTTCAAGCACTGGCTTAAGCACTGTCTCTGCAACAGTCATCATCTCCGGAAATGAAACAACAACTGTCATTCCAAGCGGTACAACATCAGCCATCAACAGTATAATTACCGACAGTTCTATCACTACCATCCCAGTATTTCCCAACAGTACTATCACCTCGACCTCGTCACCCGGCCCGTCTCGTTCGGTTATATTTACAACAGCTGTCACAGTTATCAATGGGAAGACAACCAGCGTTGTTGTGGAAGTTGCCGCCACGACTGCCTTCGGTTCCGGGCCAACTCCAACAGGAAGCACACCGATCCAGGGAGCTGGAACAGCAAACGGAGCTAGATTGGGAACAACTTTCCTGTCTGTGCTAAGCGTGATGTTCTTTTTGTTTTAGATAAAATCGATGGAAAATGTACCTATATAAAGTGATGAATGTCTTTTTTGTTTAGGAGTTTTGGATAGATAGGTGTGGATAATACTTAATGATAATACTTTTGAAATTTCATCTGGCCGGATTTTATCAATGGATGATGATAAGAATATCGAGTTCTTGTCATCTCATCAGCTCTTTAATGTACCAAGTGGCACAGTTCGGGGGTTGTCATTGAAAGTAACGACTTCCATATCTTGCTCGAAATGAGTGAAGAGACTTCGGATTTCATACAGCAATCATTTCTTCAAAACTGGACCATTCATAAAGACTTTATAATCATTACGATTTGACAAGATTTACGAGCTTTTCGATGTCACCTGAGACTATTTGGGGGCACCTCGTGACCAAATCGTTCATCGCCCTCCCTCCGCCACGTCCGCGCCAGCCGACCACCCAAATGCTCACCCACCTTTTGTCGCATACGGTTCCATCTTTTTTCCAACACTAGACAGAACTGTGTCCAGATGCGGCCACACACCGGGGAGAAGACCAAGCATAACCGGCTTCTATATCCTCGCCGTCGAGTCACATCGGTACCTGCTTCTGGGGGGGTTTCGTCACCGGGTAGCGAATGCGCCCATCTTGTGCATACAGGGGCAAATTTCTAGGGAAGAAACCGCCCGGTCGTACGCCCTCCACACAAGGCGTGTGTACGATTCATGCCAGAAGGCTTATATTCGTATTAGACATTTAAGACATTTGTTTTGTCGCGAAGCCGAGTTAACCAACAATTCCAATCGCAAGTGCTGATGGGATGATTCATTCACGAGGCACCGAGCGTGGCGCATGAGTAGTATGACTGCGATTGTCAACCCCAGGCTTCAGCGTGACCACTATAAATGTCAGTCAGTTCCCATATTTCAAAATGGTTGTCTGACTTCTTACGAATCTGCTTCGTATCATTATCTCGACTAAGTTGGGAGTTATCCACCTTACACTTATCATTTGGCCCAAGTCAAACCCTACACCCCCGCACCAAAGGGAATATAGACCGGCCAAGAGCCGGATCACAGAGTATCTCCCTAACGCGCACTTTTCAAGGAATCCCCAAGATGCCGTTCAATCAACTCCAGCGGCGGGACTCCTGGCCCCCGACCATAGTACATCTCCGTTCAAAGCACAATCCTCGAACAGATACCTTTGAATCCTTTGAGACCTCATCCATTGACGAGAACCCATTTTCCTACTTCCTCACATCCCCAGATGATACTGGAGATTTTGATGACGACGAGGACCTCTCAGCGGGTATTGAAAGCTCCAACTCCAGGAAGCCTATCATCCGAGAAGTCTCGCCCTCTTCCCTGCAAAGAGTTCCACTTCCACCCATTGACGACGAAGATGAAGAAGAAGACGACTTCCTTCCTGAAATGCCCCTAACCCTCAAAGACTTCACCAGGAGATACACTTCTCCTTCCTCACCACCGCGAAAAGTTTCACGAACAGTCAAACATCATATTCCTACGGGACTAGGAATCACCATCCCAGAAAGTTGGTCTTCCTCTGCCCGCGGTCGTGCAAGTGTTAAAAAATCCCCAGAGCAAGGACGTGATCGTGGTCGTGCGAGAAGTCTAAGTGCGAGACGACCGCAGAGCTGGAGATTACCAAGTCCGGACATTTGGTCGATCGAGGAGGAGGAAGAGGACGAGAGCAAGAGAGCCGATACACCTGAGATTCCAGATATCACACTGAACACGCCAACGAATGAGCATGTCTACCATCTTGCGGCTCCAGAGCCTGCGCTGAAAAAGAGAAAGAGGGTACATTGGGCGATATAAGAGTGTATGGTTGAACAAACAACGAACCAGTTTGATTAGTCAAGCGACTTGGGCGAGACATGGTGGATTTCAACAACTTGGTCCTGGATGATTGGAGAGTTAAATTCCATGCACATACAGTAATTGGGATTGCATTATCGGCGTTGGAGGTATTCTGAGCATTTGCACTTCGAATCTTTTCATGTACCATCGGGACGCATTTTTCTTTCAGTTTGTAATGAGGGTAGCACTATTTCTTCGACATAATTTTGCATTTTTGGGAGAACGGGGGAATCATTAATTTCATTATTTGTTAGCGAAGAGGTTAGAGAAGAGTTGGGAGGCGAACCACACAATTACTATTGACGGGCTATCGGTAGGACTTAGTCCATGCGTAATTTGAAGGAGAAATGGGTTCACAGAACCTCCTGTAGGAAATTTGAAATTGGTTTTGATATATTCGTCGGTAATCTTGAAATGTGATTTTACTTTTCTAAGTGACGTTGATGCAGTAAATGAAAAGTGATGCAGTGCAAGCTGATCCGCTGTATACAAACTTTAAGCTTAAACGGCGCGGCATGGAGATGACGGGATGTTGCCTGAAGGTTTGTGGCTATGTGCGGCATTGGAACTACGTGCCAACGCAGTCAACGGGTGTACGAGTAATATTACGCGGTTGTCTCAATTCCTTCTGGGGGTTTGTACCAGATGATATGATGATTTGTAATGAGCATCGTTTGATTCGAGTCCTATTGGGTCTAGACTGGGGTTAGTTACCTTGGATACTTACGGCCCAGTGGGTAAGTTACGCGTTGACTTGGATTGACAGCTTGTATTGTGATGCTATACACTCCTTATACTGTGAATATAGAGTCAATCGCTGTTCGAAGCGAATTGAACTTGGAATAAGTACTTTGGCTAAATATGAGTAGCTCGAACGACTATGATTGTGCATAGATGCTTGTTGTAGTAAAAGACGAGAAAGACACTTCATAGATTTCCGGCGTGTAAGAATTATATTCCAAGCTTAACGTTGTTCGGTGATTCACCATGATAATCCCAAATTTTCATCCTCGCTTAACTCCAGGGCGAGGGTGGTGAGGGCTGTTTACTCGCTCCTTACGAGTAATTCATCGCAAAAGCTCAAATAAGATACTTCTCGTGATATTAACAGTTGTTATGCCTCGGTACTGCACTATAGCAAGTTAACATTTTGCTGTTTGGTCGCCCAATTAAACCACTCACGGGTGATCTAACCTGACGCTCCCTAGTAGAAGCGAGGGATACATTTCCGATGTTTTTCTGCGGTCGATGATTCTAGGCCAGGAAAGACAAAGGCGGCACGTTGAAGAAAAGATGTGGATAAAGAGAGGCTGAATGGGATCGGAATAGTGCCTTTCATTTCTAATCAACGCGGGGCCGAATACTTCAAATCATACAAAAGTGATGCATGAATGTACTTTACTTTTCACTACGGTCGGCATAGCATTCACTTTTATTTAAGCTCACAAACGGAATTGAATCTATGTGATGTTATTAATGCTGGCGGGTTTCAGCCGTATTTAACATCGAGTATATATATTTCGGGCCTCTATTCGCAGATACTTAAACCAGATATTATGAGACTGGGTGGCGCGACAATCTCGAGCAAATTGCCCACTGCGAAATATCGCTCAACTGTCCCAAACTGGCTTGGGGGAGAGGGGAGAGGGGGGGTAAGAAGTGACGCTTATCATTCTTGGCCAGAATTGGGATCAATGAGTATAATCAAAATCGCAAACAATGAGAGACTCATGTGCAGCTTTGAGATTTGTGAATAGCTGAATGTGTTACCAAACCAAAGATATGTCATAAATTTGCACCACCCAGTAAGATCAACTACGGTCAGTTCAAGCCGAGTGAATGTATCTACACATTCACCCATAAAAGCCATTCGGCTATCCAGAAGGGAGACAATTGGCTGCTAACCGAGATAATTTGCCGAAGCATTCAAAAAATAGTATTCAGGTCTACGGCTGCACCCTATAACTGCCCTTCAAGGCTTTATGGCTCTTACTGCTAATAGTCCGTATAGATATTTCGTTCCTAAACATTAGGGACTTTTTCCGTGCTCGATAGAATATCATGGAAGGTGCGAAAAATGATTAGGGAATAGCTTTGCATGACATCGTGTCAACCTTCATCACCCCCAAACAGCCAGATAAAAGGCGGCCCTGTAATATGCGGAACTTGTACCCGTTGAAAGCTGGAAGCGTAGACTGACTGAGATGAGCGGTTGACATGATACTTCTAGCTTCCTGCAGTATAAGATGCTACAGAATACTCGCTTAACCAGGAACATTTGTGTGGCTCGAAATGCAGCGGCTTACGAGCTGACGAGCTTAGGAGAAGATTAAGAAAGACCTCATGAGCTCACTTGGATAATTTGTATCGAAAATCTGGATTCTGAAAGGGGAAAAGGTGAAATATCAACCGCATTGTACCGTACAAAGCAGAGAAATTCGGTAATGTAGCCAAAAAGAGCACCGAAAAATGTGCGTTCCTGGCATTAGAAATTCCCCGCATTCATGATTAACTTCTTACCAGATAGGAAAAGGATATTATTAGCATTTGAGAGCAGATGACCAGTGTTCCCAAATTCAATCAGCATGTGAGGGCATTCACAGTCCACTTGCACCGTGCTTTACAGTAGTGGAATATTCCTTGTTCGTGAGAGGTGGGGTATGTACTTGTAAAATGTGGTCTGATATCCTGAGCCAGACTTCTACCGTGTATTGACAAGGGTTTCGACCCCGATGCTTATCGCTCTGCATAATGGCAGCGCATCGAGAATGAATTCAACGCGGATTTAATTCAGAGTAAGTTGGCATGCTACCTCTCTGGTTCATAGCAGCTCCCACCGAAGTCATCAAAATGGAGTGTTCCTCGTCACAGAAAGTCTTTTTCCCAACCAGACCATTCAAGATCATATAGAATGATTGTGCCTCTCCAACGAGCCAAGGTACCCCCAACCATAATCGTCATTTCATCAAGGTATAACAACATCAATGCCACAAAGCCAAAAGCAATCGATATATCGTCGTACCCGCCTCCAATCCAGAACCCGAAGCTCGTTCTGACTCACGATGTCGTTCGCAACACCAAGACTCTAGACTGCACGATATATACCAGTCAAGAAGCCAGCCCTGCACGAGAGTATCCTGCAGCTTTGAGGCCCTACGCTGATACCACAAGCAAACGGCGCAACAAGGATATAAGTATAATTGTAGAGTTGCCCATGGAGGAGTGTCATCAAATTTGGAGGCGTGAGGGTCAGATCAAGAAGATCCCATTGTGGCATTTGAAGATTAGCGTATTGAGAGATTCACACATCCGAGAAAACTGTCCTAGCAAAAGTTTTGTATGTTGCCTCGTCGTCTTCCTGGAGTCACTCTTGACTGACAATTGAAACTAGGCATTTATTTCCCAAGACACCCTCAACAAAGCAGCCTGCCAACTTGAAGCAGCATTCAGCGACGTATTCGATATAGAAAAACTTGAAGAAATCCCCCTGGCGAAAGGAGCTAGAATTGACAATTGCAAACCCGAGAATATCACAATATCTCTCGCACCCGACAAGATCATCGCGGGTTGGGGGCAGTTCCTAAGTCTTCTAAGCTCCCTTGAAAGGGAATGGGCCGATGGGCGAACAGCCATAACTGAAAAGGCCGCATGTGAATTGCCCTGACTTCTGATTCAAGTATGTCGTGAACAGCTTTACTTGTACTGTATTTTTTAGGTGGATAGATACTATGGTGTTTGAGCAACTCGGACTCTTATCGTCATGGTCCAGCTACAAGGTTAATACTTCTATCAATTAGTATAACGGGGTGGACTTTACGGGGAAAAGATGGAGTTTTATTCACGCCTATTGAGTCTGGTAGGAATCTTACACAAAATTAGAAAACTTCAACCTGATGATCGATCGTCACGGTGGTTTTCAGTTCGTCTCGAGTCCCTTTAATTTTCAGCAGAGTTGTGTGAACAATAAGCAGCTTTTTCGATATATGACAGCCCTCAAGTCGCTCCCTGGCCCTGGACAGGGCCGAACGAATGAAACGGTGATGCCTCCGTTCCTTATGCACCTCCAGGGTCAGACCCTATATAACACAACAAACTTGAATTGGATATTGTATTTAAGTAATATAATTGGTGCAGGTGCACACTAGTTCCTAATCAGTAAGGGATGCGAAGAATTGACTGCAAACTATAATGCAGCCGCTAACGATAAAATGGTTCTTATCCAGTACGCTCCCAGCACACTCAATTCCGCGTGTGAGCCTTCTTGAATCTGGAACATCGTTTGTGGGTCTGGAAAATCCCCATCAAAGACCCCACGATTCTGAGAAAAATTGCCAAATGGGGATTGTTACCATTCGAAAATCTTCATGCTCCAACCCGTTCGGCCAACCATATTCTTTCAAATCTCACAAGCATTCTCGGGTGCACCCGACCCTGACAGGGTCGTTGTATGCATAAACTCGGTTCGTCGGATCTACCCATTTGAAACCGTCAACACAACCCTTTCGGTACAACCCCTCAAGAACTGTGGCCACCATGTGTTCAATCATCACTTTTGTGCCCCATGCTTTCCATCTTTTCAACGAGGAAGGCATGTTTGATCAGCCACAGTCCTTCTGACAGGCAAAACAGGTGGCCCGCGGGAGCAATGCCATAGCAGATCTCCCCACAATATGAGCTATTCTCAATACACTACCAAGCATGGAACTGAAATCCGGTGTAGAGCAAGTTGCTTGGCCCAACAACTATGCCGTTCTTCTTCCCTACTCTTTGACCATTCGTCCTGTTCAGCCTCATCTTTTGTTTCCTTTTCGCTACTTTTTCGCCTTTCCCGCCTGCTCTGCTCAGTCATGATGCTTTTCAACTATTATTCTTGATATACACTTATTTTAATAACAACAATCGAATTGGAATTCTAGTCTTGGAACTAGATTTCTATGGTTCCCCATTCCTCGCTGGAAGAGGCTTCTCTTCCATTTCAATCTTTTATTCGAAGCAACATGGAGGAAACACCGCAGGAAGACTCCGAGGGGCCTGATAATATCATTTCCGTTCCAACAGCAACGATCACAGTTGTACAACAAGTCACAGTACAGGATGAGAAATCTCTCATTACATCGCCACCAAGGCTAGAACTCCTTCGACGAGCACCTCAAAATGATAATCAGGAACTCCAACGACTTTCGCAAAGCGCTGCGGAAGCTGTTCGGCAGGCTCAACAATCGGCTTCCCAGTCGATAGGAGAGATACAACGACAAGCTGCAGAAGCGACAAGACAAGCTTCACAGTCGGCAGCACAGGCAGTACAACAAGCTCAACAACAAGCTCAACAAACCATAGCAGAAATCTCCAGAAGCGCTGATCAAGCAGTAGCTGCTGCTACTCAAAGTGCAAATCAAGCTGTGGCACAGGCGCGGTCTGAGGCATCTCAAGCTGTCGATAAGGCAAATGAGCGTGCCCAAACGTCTCTTGTAAGATGTCACATATATATTCTAACATTAACAACACTAATCTCTCAATCAACAGGACAAAGCAGCGGCTCAAATCAACACAGCTTCGACTGAAGTAGCTCTCGCCATAGTTGGGAGTATCATCGCTTCGACTTTAATAACAATTCTTATATTCTTTCTGGTCAACAAACACAAAAAGGCGAAACGAAGATTGGAAAGGAAGTCCAAAGAAAAAGATCGTTCGCTATCACCAACACCGTCGTACGGAGAACCCAACCGTTCCGCCTCAGAAAAGGCCGGTACAAACCCTGCAGCTCTATCGAACGAGAGAGACGTGGGAGTCAACGATATGGCAACAACGCCTCGGGGAGGAGCGATGAAGTACACCGAGGTTAAATGGAATCCTAACAACCCACCTCAAGCGCCCACGCTAGCAAATTGGTTGATGGTTCAAGATGGAGTCAGCCCTTACCGTTCCATTTCTCTTCCAACGGATGATGAAAATGCGGGTCCTCTGGGAGGACAACTTAAGTCACCATTACGAAGTATTCCGCCAAAATCCACAAACCCTTCCTACGGATTCCCGAGTTCACCAACCGCCACGAGGGAAACTAGGATACCTGGCGGAGACCTACCTTTCAGGCAAAAAGACTCAGCACGAGAAAGCGTTGCCGAAATCGGTAAAGCAACCATCAAACAAGGCATCGTTCGTCAAATCACCGTCTCCAAAACTCAACCGTCCCTTCGAAGCAAGCCTTCGATTGCAAGCTCCCACACCCAAAAAGATTCTAGAACCGACTTCCCAACTTACGTGGGACCACCTAAATCAGAAATAGAAAAGACAGCTCAGAGACAAAGTGGAGTCTCGGCTTGGAAAGATGACAAACGTGGTTCAGATAGAGCGCCTTCTTCGATCTTCCCTTCTCCACCCACAACAGCGAGGGGAGAGGGCAACCGAATGGACATTCCCCAGACTAGAGGACCAGTAAGGACGACGGCTCAATGGCTTGAGAGTATTCGTATTGCGGCGGAGGAAAATCAACAAGATGTTGTGACTAGTGATGTTAGCAGTATGTCTAGTGCTGGTAAAAGGAGTCTTGGAAGTGGCAGCGGTATTGGGTTACCCTCGAATCCTAGGATTGGAGGTGGCTTGCCTGGGAACCCGAGAGGAGATAGGAAGACGGCCATTACCAGACAGGACACTGTCCAAAGTCAGCGGGGGGAGTTGGGTAACGTTGAAAGTGGAAGCCTCTCAACGAATCAGCTGGGGAGTTTGAGGTCGAGAGCTTCAAGTGTAGGTACGAGGGGAAGAACAAACAGTGTTTCGAGAGTTGTTGACACACCTTCTGTTGGTAGGGCACTATAACGATATGGCTGCAACTTTATGGTCCTAGAGAGTTGATGCTCCCGTTATATGGACATGATGGAGTTTTGTCGACATACCATATTCTTTCACATTTTTACTTCTAGCAGATGGAAAGTTTATGAAGATAAATATAAACAATAATGAAATAGTCCTTCTATACTATAAGCAAAAAAAATGAAATTCAATATGCCTGTGTACTATTATTTTTACAGTATGACAAAAAGGCGGAGGAGTAGCTTGGACTTTGTAGTCCGTGTTACCTGCTTATTGGCTTGGCCTTCTTCCATTCGGGGGTTCTTTCGTCAAGTGGGGTGTTTTTTCAACAAAACTGACGAGTAATCACACAACCAAAGTATCTTTATTTTTACCCTTTTCCGAGAACGGTAGAAGTCCATTGTCCTTCAATAAGTCCCACTCTTATGTGTACGTGTTTAGCGGGGTGTCTACTTCTAGAAGTGGAAGGGGGTGGGGGAAGACTACACCCCGGAAGCGCATCTTCTTAACCACCGGCAATCATTTAGTCTTGATTTCTCCGAAGATCTGGGCAGTTTTCCGGTGTCCCGGCTTACAAGAAAATGGCAGAAAATCCTTTTCTTTAAGCATAATTTTAGTTCAATTGCTTTATTCTACGCGTTACTTAGATCAACCCAAAGGATAACCTTACTACATCTAAGCATCTAGTTGCTTTAAACCAACCAACGATAACAACAAACAAAAAGCTCTTGAACATTTTCTTGTTCAATGTAATCGAGGCACGCTCTGACAATGGTACTGTATAAAAAAGTCCAAAGCTTGGATCCGCGGATTTAAGGCGAATCCAAGCCCAGTCATCTGATCTCCCAACCCACTACAAAATATTCGGAGAATTGTGCTCGTTTCCCTATAGGTTAACCAGTCCCAGAACTCCCATTTTGCAAAGCTTCTTCGTCTCCAGAGGATCTTGAACGGAGCAGAAATGCGTGTGCATGAATACACGTCATTGCCGAATTCTTCGGAACTCAATCAAAATTGTCATTACCACGTTCCGTGGTGGAGTTCGTCCAAGGTCGAGAGTCTTATAAAAGCAAGATGGTCCCCTCAAGTCATTGCTGCTCTTTGACCGTCTGCGTTCTTTCACTCTTTGATCTTTAGTTCTTTTGAGTTCAATAGTTGTACCTCGACCGATAATATGAAGACCCAAATTCTTTCCGCATTGGCCTATGCCAGCACCGCCTTGGCTCAAGGTAAATATTGAATTACAATACCTTGCTTTCAGAATGATCAATTGACTAAGACTAACAGGCTTCATCTTTGAACGTCTCAACAAATCCGATGCGGTAAGTAAACACAACCAAGCAAGAGCAAACCCGGCCTTTTCTTATTGTGAACCTAGGCTCTCCTAATTGTCGACCACCAAATCGGACTTTTGTCCATCGTCGGTGACGTCGAGCCAACCAAATTCAGAAATGCCATCTTCGCCCATGCAGCATTAGGACCATTATTCGGATTACCAGTTGTCATCACCAGCTCGGCAGACACTGGTGCAAATGGAATGGTCCCAGCAGAGATCCTCCAGGTAAATTTCAAGACTTCCACAAAGTAATTTCACAAATTCTAAATGGATGGTTGGTAGTCAAACCCCAACGCCACAATCGTAAAGCGCGCCGGAGAAGTCAACTCCTGGGACTCTCCCGAATTCCGCGCAGCCGTCGAAGCAACCGGCAAGAGACAAATGATCATCGCAGGCGTCACTACCGACATCTGCACCACCTTCCTCGCGCTCTCTCTCAGAGAAGCAGGATACAGTGTTTGGGCCAACACCGAGGCATCGGGAACCTTTGACAAGTCTCTTTCGGATAACGCCAACCGAAGAATGGAATCTGCTGGTGTTCATTTGATGGGCTTGTTTGCTTTGATCAGTGATTTGATGAGGGATTGGAGAAGTACTCCTGGTGCGGTGGAGGTTCTGCCGTTTGTGGATAGATATATTCCTGCTTACTCGTGGGTCGCGAGAGCACATACTGATGCAATTGCCAACAACTAAAGTGGAAAAGTATGAAGGCCGAGGCTTTGAAGGGAGGGCTTAGGGTTGAAGAGGTAGTTCGTAGACTCTAATAATTAATCAACCATTACTATTTTCACTTCAACTCATTCTCGCTCCTCAATATCCACTTCTATTTCTTGTTTGATAAGAGAAGAACGCAAAGAAGAAGTGTTTACAAATCAAGGGAGCAGAAGACTAAACTTGAACTTAAATAGTGGCAAATGGTAGGTTTGTTTCAGGTATTACTGAGCAGCGGAAGGGAAATCGTTCAAAAAAAGTAAAGGTTTTTGCTCCAGCGAAACCCTGTCCCGGACATTCTCGGGTAATCCTACGTCAAAAAGACACCATTCTTCAAAAGTCCGAGCAATGTATGCTACTGTATGGCAACCCTCAAATTGGCTATCCAACCAATACCACAGGTATTTCGTCAATGAAACTATATAATAGAATTCTCTTACTGATTAACAAAACCCACACTTCCGAAATACTTGGTACTTTAATTAATAATAAAAAAATCGGTATTTAGAAAAAGCATACCCCTCGTCTGCCTGTAGTAAACAAACACAGGTGTAAGAAAGTCAAGAATAGCTAGGGAATACACTCCTTTGCAGATTACAATAGTATACCATCTAGTATTAACAACCTAATTCTATTCCTCATTCTATACCTACTACCTTACTTATTCTACCATTGGTAAGCTATAATAAAATCGCATTATCGAACATTTCGTATTTGTAACTACTACAGTATGGCCTGTTCGCCTCAAATTAGGGTCAATTAGATTATTCGGTAGCGTACCCTGGGATTCACAAAACTCACAAAAACTCTATTCGCTTAACTCGGAGTCTTATTTAAATATTTCGAATTAAATATCGTTCGGACTAAATTCCCTACTTTATATACTAACTTAGACATGTAATCTCTACTACTTACCTATTATACTAGTTATTCTACTACACCTATTATATTAAGTGTACTCGTACAACGTCCTTAACGCCCTTAATATATAAATATATGTTTATATATATAAAGAAGTAGATAAAGTAGTAGTATCTATATTAGGTAAGATAAGCGAGTTAGGAATACAGAATTCTAAATATAACTAAAAAGCTGTTTTCACTTTTTGTATGGGATAATTCAAAAGAATCTAGATTACGATATTCGGAGTGGTATTTGCTACAAATTCGACTTACGAGCCGAAAGTTTTTAGTACTTGATACGAATCAGGGCTTGTATTAAGTACTAAACTCTAATTTATATGGGAGAACCTAGATTTAGATTCAGGATTTTTTCGAGCCGAACAGGCCGGTAGTAACTCTAAGTTCTATAGTATAACAACCGAGTTATAATAGTCCAAATCATCAAAGGGGGAGTATAAGGGTCAATATAGCACAGAGCTAATCTCCTGGTATAAGAAAGCAATGAGCTTTATGTTTTAGGAAATTAGGGCACATAGGAAAATGTGTTGTCTTCTTATACTATATTTTTTCGCCAAAAAAGGGGGTTATAGGGCTCGCCTCGCGCGTCTTGGATGTTGTCGACTCTCGGCTATCGTCTACCTCACTATGATTGTTTCAGCCGTTTCTTTTGGGTCTGTACTATACAGTAGCAATTTTTCATTTAAAAGGTTTGACTCTCTCGAAGACAGTTTTGCTTTGTGCATCTTATCTTTTTCATTCGATGGACATTGAAGAAAAGAAGAGGAAACCCGATTATATGTCATCTCTATCGTGCCTACGAGGCAGTGTTTCTAACTAATATATACAAAGTAGGTAACCCAACCCCATCACTTAACATCAACCCCCAGCATAAATCCCAAAATTCGCTTAGCAGAAGTCTACCCGTCTCCCCCCCTCCACCCTAATAATCATCCTCCCGACAAATAAAAACCTTCATCCCCCTCGTATCCCCCTTCCTCCTCCTCCCCTCCCTATCAACCACATACCTCGGCCCAATCTGCCTCAACCGATTCCTCTCCACCTCATCCCTCGCCATCGAATTCGCCATAAACTCCGCATTGCCCGTCCACTCATCAACCGAACGTCTCCACTTCCTCGGACAATGCACCATCTCCCCAAACTCATCCTTATTCAGGTCCGCGACATTAAACCCATCACGGAACAGCCGCAGCTGTATCAGCGTCGCGTGGAGATTAACGATATGTTCTTGCTGCGTGATGTTGGGCGGGTTCCAGAAGGGCACGCAGACGGTGAGACAGGAGGTTATGAGTTTGGGGTAGTGAGAGAGCGGGGCGAGGATGGCCATGGCGTCTGAGACGGAGGGGAGTTTGGAGGCCCGGCAGGCGCCGTGGTCGTTCTTTTCGACGACGACTTGTTGAAGGACTTTGATGGAGTCGATGAAGTCTGGAACCCATTCGGCGAGCTTGGTCCAGGCGTCGGGATTTTGCATGTCTTCGGGTGCCCAGAGCATTGATGTGCACCATTCCTATTTTCGCAAGGTTAGGAGATGAGGTATAGGGAGGAGGAAGTTCCGGGAGGGGATGCGGAGGAAGTACTTACGAGGGATTGTAACAGGTAATCAACACCCAATTTGTGATCCGGACTGTATCCTGGATCACCATGTATAATATCACGCAACCGATACGCCGTTTTCCTCGCCGCCCAATTCCAAGTAAGCAAACTCTGATGCGCATCAATAGAATACGAGCCCGTCGCCTGCTCATAATTACACATATTCTTGACAACCAACAGATGGAATTTCCGCGCCTCATCCAGTAACTTTACGCCTTGATACGCTTCAGTATCATAAACCTCCCCCGATTCCCGTCGGACTCTATAATCTTCAAGCCAAGTATTCATAGTCCGACCCTTCTCACGCATCTCCGCCGAGTACGTCGTGTGATTATTCTGGAACTCATCTAGACTCCACAATCGCTCCCCGAAACTTTTCAACTCCCTCTCTTCCGGCGAGAGGAACACCGCGTCCCTGATCCGCAGCTCACGAATCCGTGCATAGTAATCGGGGGTGTCTTCCAAACTCTGGGGCCCCTCGAAATTCTCCCTCATTGTGATCTTACCATCTTTTGAATCCTTCTCGTAGAGGTTGACTCTAGAGACCAGTCTTTTGGCGCGTCCTTGGAGGACACTTGTTCCAAACCTATGTATCTCGTTAGTCTCGCTTCGAAAAGGTATATATACAAAGCTAGTTCCTCTCTCTCTGTATGTTTGGCCGATGCTTACTTCGCGACACCAGTGTCCTACAAAAATATTAGAAGTCTTCTTCATCAAGAAAATAGGTACCACTTACCCAAAATTCACGTTGCTGTACATCTTAAGATAAAACCATTAGCGAGAATCCTAGACAAACGCAAAAGGGTCGCCAACCTTCATAAAACGTAACCGGAATCGGACGCCATATCTCCGACCACTTCATAGGAGGCTTAGTCAATATCGGTTCATTGGACATCCTTCCATGATTGGGAGTAGGCCACTCCGTCTGCAGCCAAAAGCCCAGCGGGGTGGTCAACCCCGATAACTCATACGTATCTGCGTACTCTCTAAAAGGGTAGCTCGTTCCACCAAAAGTCTTCCAATCAATACAGTCATTTCCAAGAGCGAGGAGGAAGAGAAGCTTACTGAAGTCTCGAAAGCAAATCCCAGTTCGGTTACCGGATCTTCTTCCACGTAAGGCTCTGGGACATCATATAACCTCTGCCGTCCATGTTTTTCCAGATCTTCCGTGTACCACATCGCATGCTATTAATCGTCCAATTAACTTCCCCCATCCCTCGCTTCGCAAAAACAAAAAGGGAGCACTTACCAGCAACTCATGACACAAAACATTAGCAATATACCACTGCAACCCCATCCGTTCCGAATCATGCAAATCCTCCCTAAAAAGCGGAAGCACCATCGACCACGACAAAAAGATCCTAATCTTCAACGGCTCGCCAGAGGGTCCCCCGCCCGTCATGCCCGTCAGTCCCCACATGAAAACGTCAGACTTGGTCCGATCATACGGATTCTCATTCTTGTCTTGGAAGCCGAAGGTGATGTCAAATTTATCGACCATTTCATCGAAACGGATGGTTGTGTGTGCGGAGAGATCGTTCATGTCGAGGTTATTGTCGTTTGCTCTTGTGACTTGGACGAGTTTGCCTTTATAACCTGTTGGTCGTCGAGATTCGTCGACGTCGCTTAGCGAGCCGAAGAAGAGGATTTTGATCTATCGGTACCATTTTTGAATCAGCTCTTGCATTCATTTAAGGAAGAGAAAAGAGAGCCACAAAGTAGAAAGAGAAAAGAATAAAAGTAAAAGTTCATGGTCATCAGATTCACTTACAAAAGGCATCATATGCATACTAGCAAGCAAATACGTAGCAATCCTCAACGATGGCCCCATAACCTCCCACACAGCCTCATTACTCACCGCCCAATTCCCCTCCAACCCATCCGGCTTCTCGGGAATATCATAAAACGTATAATAATCCTTCCTCTCCATCGTCCCCAACGGATCAGGCTGATACTCCCACCTCTCCCTCCGAAACAGTGGATGCAGCACATTCGCCAAATCCCCCCCGCGTAAGTCCCTCGTCGTGATGGCATCTAATTCCGTCAACTCCCTCGTCGTAAACCCATGGAGTAACTTCCTCTGCGCGTTCTCGATGGATTCATTGGTCGCCTGCGCATTCCGCATTTCCTGCGTCAGTTCCCCGGGTTGGTAGGAGCCATAGCTGAGGACGGGTGTAAGTTGCGAGATGATGGTCTGGTCGCCTTCGATGTGTGCGTATTTATTTGGCCAGGGGACGGCGGCGCTGGCGTCGGGTTGGTAGGCGGAGGGGGAGTAGAAGACTGTTGGTTGGCGAGTTCGTTTTCCCCTGCGGATGGGTTTCCTCTCGCCAGGAGTAGATTCGGAATCGGAATCGGATTCCACATACAGGCTTTCGTGGTCGCTCATCGTTGCGCTAAATTGATGGATGTATTAGGGGTTTTCATGGAAATCGAAATTTCACGTGGTTTGGGCTTTCGTGAGAGTGTTGGACAATCGCAAAGTTGTTCTTTGTCTTTATAGCTGAAAGCAGACTTGTGGGCTATCAAAGAACAACAATTCCATAATGAAGGACCTCTCAACCTTCAAGAGCCCTCAAAACAAACAAACTAGGCTAAATAATCTACCTAAATCCCTAAAAAAAAGAAATATCATAAAAAAACACCCTTATAAAAAAGAATTTACTCTAGCCTACCCTCTAACTATCCAAAAACACCTACCTCTTACCTCCTTCTAAAAACCCTAATAAATCCTAACCCTATAAAATCCCTAAAATAAACAAACAAATAAACTAATCTAAATAATTCTTATTATCGATATTCTACTCTAAGGGGTATATCCGGGGTATATCCGGGGTAAGTTACGTGAGATGTAAGACTACTATAGTAGGTATTTAACATAATAATATTACAAGGAATATAAAAGACTAGAAGTATTATTGGTTTGACTTATTCAGTCAAGTGGGTGATGCAAAAGACCTATATTACTAAGGTAATAACTAAGTCTCTGATGTTGCATGCCGAAGCAAGTGTAGCTAGCTAAGTGCCTACGTACTTTTAGGTACCAAAGTACGCTAGTAAAGCACGCTAGTCCCGAAGGAGCAACTACGCTCGGAGCTAGCTAATAATCATTTACTATTATAAACCGACAAGTATACTAGGTAAGGAGCTAAGTACGTATAGGTAGAAGCCTAGCTTATATAGCCCCAGTATATACCCCTTCTTTGTTATATACTCCTATTTTATTCTATATATATATAGGTTTCGTAAGGTGGAAATTACTAGTTAGATTAATTAATAATAATTAATATCCATTACCCTTTCTAAAGTATCTTAATATAAAAACCCCGTAAACTAAAAGTACAGTATAGAAAAGTATCTACTTTTAATTGAATGTCCGTTAGAAAAAAAGTTATTTAGTAATTTAAATAACGTGTCCAAGTATTAAAGTTCAAAGTCTTAATTCGATATAGTTATTATATCTACTTGTCTCTACTCAAGTGTATGGTTTTTTTTACATCCTAATACTCTGGAAGGAATATAAGCACGTGGAGAACCAAACCAACAGCTCGAAAGTAGTAAAGCCAATCCGGTACGAGAAAAGTAAGAAAGTAGTTGAGTAGAGTAGGAATCTGTTTTGTTCTGCTCATGGCTTCTAATAACGAGTATCTAGGAGTAGGGGAGCTTGCCGTATTCGGGGAGCCAAAAGTAAAGCCTCGGAGATAAAGCATGGACATTTGCATTCCAATCCAGCTCGTCATTCAGATGCTGATTTTGCCTGCGAAAAACGCAGTGCTCGAATTGCTGGCTGGAAACATCGGCTAGATATACTGCAAAGAACGATCTATCCGTCACATCGGATTCGCATCATTGACTTATCACCATGGAAAAAATCGAGTACGGAAGGGCAAAAAAAATTCTAAATAGATAATCACATACCTTAATAAAAGAGCCGACAAAGACCGACCCCGCTATCGTAGCGTAGTTACATGCGGCAAACCTACCGACATGGAAGCCAGGCAGCCAATGAAAGAGACTTGGACCCTGCTCACCGCAAGATTCCTGAGTCGTAACCACCTCTTATTTCCCACCCAAGCAATCAGAGAACGGGGATTGGTTCGAAGGTTTAGTATGTGTAGGAAGGGTAGGAAAACCTGGGAATACTCATGGGAAAGGTAAATGATGTGATGGATACCATGACGACACCTGAGCGGGGAAATATTATTGTGTGGTCGACTTGTGGTTTAATTTTAGGGTTGAGGTGTTGGTGGCATTGGGCGTGATGAGGTTCGGGCTTTGAAATGTGGAAGCTCGAACTCCAACCTTTGAACTCCGACTCCGCAAGTACAGTAGTAGTCTGTCAGGCTGGGACCGGCTGGTTGGGTGTGTATTGACGGGGATGAAGATTTTTGAGAAACCCGAGTTCGGATGAGAACTTCATACGAGAGATGATTTCTTATCATCGCATGTGGCAACTCTTCCAGAGATAGTCCGTCAGTTATCCGCTGAGGAGCTGGAAATCAAGTCGGAATTGGTGATTGACGACCGATGATTATTGATTATCGATAGCTGTGATATGATAGCGATTTATCGCCGAGGTTAATAATTGATAGTGAAAAAGTGATTGATGGTTTTCCATGGTATATTTTCAATGGACCATTTCTAGCCGCTCGTGCATATGAAGGGGTTACCCCTCTATTTGTATTTGTAAAGGGCCTTTGGCAATGCAAACCCCAGAATCATTGCATTCGGTGCTGGGTGGGCCGATGAAGCGGCGACTCGAACATGTTCGTGAGAAACCAGGCCGATGTCCAAGATCAGACGGTCTTTGGCCGATCTGCGATAGTATTGAAAGAAAAGGCGTGCAAGGAAAGCTTTGGGTGCTTCGCCATGTTGATCGTACTGTAGGACTTGCATTACGTATGCAGTTGGAAGGCCGTCGGCGGGGTTCGTTAAGCTTAATAAGACTTGAGTCGAAAACATCAAGACCTCTTCTCTTTCCTTTGTACCTTTTTGAAGGGTCTGTTTTTTTCAACCTTTTTCCAGAAGGCCAATTGACTTTTCCGAAGGCCTGCCTGGACAACTGTACCTGTGGACATATTATCATCCACCTGAAATACGCAGACTGCCATCGCCATCGGGGTATTAAGTTTGCACAATGCCATCCGTACCAAAGTATAGAAGATGAATTGGACCACCACGACCGCGATAACTCATTGGGAGGGATGATGGGCGATAAGACGGGCTTCCGCCCACCTCGTCCTTTCTTCGGCCAACTCTGCGTGCTGGTTGTGGAGTACAGTAAGATACTACCCTGTAACCCTGGGAGGAGCATTGAACCCCAGTTGTTTCCAAGTGAAGCTCGTTTGGCGCATTTAGCGTGCTTATGGTGGGGTAGGAGGGGTAAATTGCCAGCCTCTCACGATGGAGGAGAGCTCTGTGTGGTGCGAAGGCCGGGGATATGTGGGGATCATATGGGGCATCTTTTTCAGTGGAGCGAATCTCGCTCGCCTCTTCGCAAGAGCACCAGTTCACAAGAGGCTTTTCCTTGCCCTTCCCACCAACGGTTCCACCGAGGGGAGCATCGATGGTGGCACCGGCCGATTGATGGCCCCAACGGGCTCAATGCGGTGCCCACGGCCCACGGGGTTTGACATGGTTGTGCTTGAGCTTGAGCTGGAGCTTGCAAGAGCTTGGATGGGAATGACAGGTTTGGTCCAGGGAGACGACTGGAGGCGAGAAAGGCTGAAGTGCGGAGCGAATGATACGTTGCGTGTATTGAAGTTTGTGGTGATGATAGACGAGGGGCTGGTAGAGTTACCGTTTTGGTACCAAGACTCCAATGTTTCTGGTGGTTGTGGTGGAGCGGCGTTGGCGTTGGCGTTGGCGTGGACGACGGTGATGTGCAGCCGTAATGCGCACTGCAGCTGTCAAAGGCGGTTGGAGTGGCCGAGTCGAGTAACGAGTCGGAACGGATCACGGCAAGTGAGTTTCCAGTTCAACGATTACTCGTACATGGGATTCTATGGATTTGGAAGTTGCAGACGCTGCCGACGGTACTGTGGTGGTTGCAGCATGCAGTGCAGTGCATGGAATTGTAACGGTTCGAGAGGCGACGATGGACCAGATTGACAGAGCGTGGGATGTCTGTCTAGGGTTCACGAGTACACATCATCAGACTGCCAAAATGAAGGCGTCCGCAATGTTGAGCAATGAGCAATGAGCAATGAGCAGCGAGCAGCGAGTACATCACCCGTACCAGCACTCTGCCCGCACCGCATCAGCTAAGTTTGACTGTACCAATTTGACTGCACCAAGTAGAGTACTGTAGCTACCTCGCGAGGACTTCCACTTGGGTCTGCCAAGGCTGAACCCTTTTGGCAGTACCTAAGGATTGGTGCGTGGACTTGAGCCACTTTCTCCAGCAATTCTGATAATTCAACCTTCAATACTTCGTAAAATGCCAAAGAGGCCGACTAGCGTGGTGATTGGCGCCTTTGGCAGAGGAGAGTTGCGGGTAGTCGCTAGCTTTGCTCAGGCCCCACTTATACCTCGTTTTCGCTGACTGGACCCCCGCCTGTCACCAACAAAGTGTCACTGTCACTTTTTGCTAAAGTGAGCGATATTGCCACTCGAGCCACTGCCCTGTACAACGCAGTACCTCGTCCTCGTACTTGGTACATGAGAGACATGCCTATCTGTATACCTATCGATGAGCCAGAGCACGCTTAGCTAAGACTCCATGACCAGCCGTTACTTGTACACCCCTCGCTGTTGACTCAAGCATCCGGCCACGGCCACGGCCACACTCGTCCGGACTTTTATGCCACATACAACCGAGAAGCACTACACTTCGAGGTAGTCAGTCACAAGTGAGGCAAGGCAATCCAGCCCACTGCACCTGCTGCCTGGTGCAGTCGAGTGCAGCAACAGAGCAGTAGGGCATCCTCCCAGCATCCTTAGCCGACCACCGGTGGATTCACTGTGGATTCACGGTGGATCCCAATCGGCAGGGTTCGTGGGGTCTCCTTCACTGAAAGATCGGTCTCCAGGGCAGGGATGAGAGGGAAAGTACCCCGACGCGGACCACTCTGACTACCCTGCCCTCGCTGACTACCCTGGCCCTCTATGCCCGATCATCGGTCGAGAGTTCGTCATGCTGCACGAGTTTGTGGATGAAAGTCAAATAATGGAAATTGTTCCGCGAACGAGGCCAAGATAGAGGGACCTAGGAACTACTTATACCTTACTCCCTAACTTCTCCAGATTACTTTATGACCCCTCCTTCCCCCATTCTTCATCGACCTCCTCTACCTCGACCTCGACCTTGAACTGCAGACAAGCTAAGCGCAAGAGCCAGCTCCGAATACCTCAAAGCTATAGCTTCACAACTCAACCCTCTCCACGAACAACCCCTCAATCAATCCCAAGGTTGACCGAACACCACCACCACCACCACCAACATGGCTCCCGCCACTGCCTGCTCTGCTTCCATGTCCTCAAGCTCAACCACCAACTCCAAATGCAGTGCTGACAACATCACCAAAAAGAAGTTTGGATGCACCTTCCCAAATTGTGGAAAGTCATTTTCGAGATCGGAACATCTACATCGTCACGCGTTGAACCACAAGGATGGGAACAACACATGTTTGAGATGCAGTGCCCACTTCCGCCGTCGGGATCTCCTTGGTACGTGAATTGGGCGCCTATGTTTTTTTTTCTTTGTCAAAAGCTGTGAAAATTGCTTTAATGAGTATGGTCTAATTCTCCAAAACAGACAGACACATGGCTCGCCACAAGGAAAAGGACGACGAGGCAGGAGGAGAAGGATTGGGCGTTCTAGCAACTCGCAAGAGACTATGGAGAGATGACACAGGCAAGATCGTCAATTCTCGCAGACCATCGTACACACAAGAAGGTACCAAACGAAGACAAACCACACGCCCAGAGCGCAAACTCTCCAAAGCAAGCTCCACAACTTCCTCATACGACGAACCACCCACGCCTATGACAAGAACTTCCTCAATGAGCTCTCCCGCCATCCTCCAACACCCACATCACAACATTCCAAGTTTCAGCCGTCGTGAGGATGATCCCAAACCTGAATTGACAGAACCAGACTGGCTCTCAATTTCCACTACTGCCCCTCTGGAAACTCCACAATTGGAAGAAGCTTCACCTACCGAACTCTCCTCCTTTGACGCCTTGTACGAAGACACAACTTGGTCCTCCCTCTCTAATGAGCCAATCCTCTCAACATCTCCTCACTCCTCAACGTCTCTCTCTAGTCTCTCCTCTTCCGCATCCTCGCCTATGCTTTCCCCCGCCACCTCCCACCGCCCCCACGAATATCCAACACCAACCTGGACACCCCTTCCTCAAGGCCACCACTCATCACACGCTCCAGCACCATTCCAAACCTTCATGGGCGCCATGGCCGAATTACCATATGATGATATCTTCAAGCCCGAGGCCTCGCTCTACGATTGGCAAGCTTGGAATAGTCAGGTCTTGATGTCGAAGGTTCGTGAGGAGAAATACGACCCCCTGTTCTCGAGCACTGCTACGGCAACTGCACCGGCGCTCTCTTCGAGTGGGGAGGAGAAGAAGCCTTCGAATGGGGGTTGGCTTGGTGCTGATGCTTTTCGACGACCTTTTGCGGGATTGAGTGGAATTTGTTAATAGGGCGATACGAAAAATACGTTGAATCTTTCTTTTGTTTTCTTGCGTGGAAATTGGGAGGAGCTCTTGCACATTATGGATGGATGGGATACGGGCCATGAATAAATGAACGGAGGGGCTGGACTCGACGGATATGAATGACTTGACAAAGGGGCTTGGGATTTCTTGTTATTTCATTTGTCAATTTCTTTTCGTTTCGCATCTTTCTTTCTCTGTGGATACACATATTCCGGAGTTGATTTGCACCTCTTTTCCCCCCACAGATATGGGATGGACATAGCACAGAAATGGGATGTGGTATTTGGGTGGGGACAAATGTTCATACACGAATTGCATTACCGAGGCGTTTACTACGGATGGCGTGATGGGATGGATGGATTTTGGGAGAGGCCGTATTTAGGGTTTGATGATGACGATGATGATGATGGGAGGAATATGAAGAGAGGAAAGAAAGAAAGAGAGGAACTCAGGAATGGGAGGGAATGCCACCTTTTTATGAAATCATACTAGAGATGAAGAATGAATAAAAATGAACAAAAAATGAAAATGAACATATTATATAATTTTTTGTCTAACTTAATTTGCAACTTACTATATGCGGTTGTGAAATTTTATAGTGTATGTATAGGGTAGGGTGGAAGGAAGGGCTATTCTTCCTGATAAAGATAATGGGTTGGGTCTGGTCGGTACTACTACTTACTTATAACAGGTGGGTCAGTTGGTAGTACTCACCTAACCCTCGCTTAGTTAACAGAGAGAAGGGATTATTCACTAGGTTTGTGTTATTTACTGATTTACTATCTACTATATCCTTACTCCCTAGGTAACTTAACTCCTAAGTCTCTACCTTAATTATATCCTTGCTTCTTTACTTCCTCACTTCCTAAATCTCTACTTATTAAATCTTCACTTCATTATGTCTTTACTTCCCCATATTTTCACTTTTACTACACTCTCACCTCCCAAGACTTCACTCCCTAGTCTTCACACTTCCCACACTCTCACCTCTTCACCTCTTTACCTCCCCTTCTTTACTTTCTTAATCCTTTACGTCTACTATATCTCTTTAAGTATATAGTTACCTCTCACTTTTACTAATCTTCACTTTAACTAGTCTTCACTTCTTCACTTCCTCACTTCCTCACTCCCTAACCTCCCCTTCTTTACTCTCTTAACCCTTTACTTCTACTATCTCCTTAACGCCCTATATATATATTTCACATTCTAGGTTTAGGGCATCCACTTTTAATCTTAGTACCTAATAATAGCACTCCTTAATTAGCGCGGGGCATGTTAGACTAAGCCCGACAGACAGCTCGCTCGCCTAAGTAATATCCTATCTAACCCGTCCGACCGCCTAAATAGGAAATCGTAAACCTAAAATTTGGAATGTATATACAGGGCGTCGAGGAGATCTCTTTAACTATATCCTGATCACTCTAACCAAACCCTTACTTCCTAAATCTCCATTCCCCTAACTGTCCCCCTCCCCTAACCCTCTCCCTTCCCAGTTCTCACCTCCCCACTCTTCACCTCCCAACTCACTTACCTTTTCCTCCCCTCTATTATCTCTCTACCTCTCCCTCTACTTCTACCACATCCTCACCTCTTCCTTAAAAACTTCTTCACTTCTCTACACCTACTCTTACCAATCGTATACGTACCATACTCTACTAAACCAATCCACAAAATTTAAATAACTTGTTACGACACGAGCACTTGGCTCCACAGTCTGGCACTAGTATATTCCATGGAAGGCGCTAGTCCCATTCCGTATATTAGAGTCGCTCAACTCCGCTCCCCCTGGCCTTGGCTAGCTTCTCTCTGTATTCCAGCTTGTCCATTCTACATTGTGCCCTCGTCTTCTAACGTAAGCATACTTTTCCCCAAGACAAAAAATAGTATAAAAATCCAACAGAACCTCGCGATCACTGTCTTTAGCGATTCCTACCATCTATCCAAAACCTCAAAAACACCATCCAAAGCTAAACACATCCCTAAACCAAACCAAAGCACAAAAAGAAAAGAAAACGAAAAGAAACCTAGACAAGAAAAACGCTGTTTCCATTGAAAATCCCACCACGCTATCATATTCACACTTACCCCTACCCATCTAAATGAGCTAAGCTAAGTTATGATACTAGCTATCAATACAAACCAAAAAACCCCCCTACCTAGCCGCTAAAAGAAATCCCATTCGATCCGATAAACCCCCCAATACCCGTGGAGTTCCACATCCCAAAACAAGGACTCGCTGAGTGCAAGTGTAAAATCACTCCTTACCCACCCAACCGTTACCCACCACTCCAACATCACAAAAAGACACAACCACAACCACACACGCACCATCCTAACCACTACCTATCTCCTCCTCCATCTTTCGAACTATGTCTTTCTCCCTTGCAACTCTCAAAGCATCCATCCCTCTCAATCCCTCTCCATCCCGTCCCTCCAAACCCCCATTCCGAGCCTTGACATCATACCAAGGCCCACGCTTCCCCGCCTCTCCTACCAACTGTTCTTCATTCGTCTCTACAGCTCCCGTCTCCATCTGTTGAAGTGCTATCTCCCTCGCCTGGACACTTTCTCTCTCATCCAACTCCCTCATCTCCGCTTCCTGCTCCGCCAGCTGCCTCTCCTGACACGCATCAACAAAGTGATCCGAGAGCCTCTCAAGAAGACGGACTACTTGAAGAAAAGCGTCGTTCCATTCTCCCCGCCACAAGTTGACAGCAAAGGGCTCGTCAGGGGCCTGCAAATGAGTTTCTAACCCTGTGGCGAGATCACGAAGATGTTGGATGGTTTCCAGCATATCTTGGGTCCAGGCTTGGTGCCATGGGATTGGGGGTTGTTCTGGATTTTTTACAGACATAATCTGTTGGCGAGCCAGCACAGAACTGACCATTTCTACTTCACGCAGAATCGCTGAAGAAGTACGTCCAGTCTCTCCATCTTGACATTCCTCAAACTGCGTGGTGTCTGATATCGTCGATAGCGTATTAATTCCAAGCGTAGCAACTCCGTCAAGCGAATCCGCACTCTCACTCTCAGCAGCTTGATCCACATTTTCTTCAGTCTTTGGACAACTAAGAAGCGTTGCACTATCCTCGTCATCTTCAGCAATAGTGGAAAGTCGAGAATCAATATCCTTCGGGCTGCCAGAAACAACAGGGTTCTTCATATCTTTCTGCTCGGATTCATCAGAACGGGATCTCCAAGGCGGGCCAAATTCGCACAATGTCCTCGACGGTTTGGGACTCTCAACTTGCGGATCCATGATAGCAATTCCGGCTTTCATAGGCGAAACAGGACGAGCAACCTCCTCACCCACTCTCTCAATCGGCCTTCCAAAAGTTCTCTTCCAAGAAGAAGAACCCACTTTATCCTCATCCCCACGACCTACTCCATATTCCCCTTTTCCCCCTTCATCTTCAAGACCTGTCTCTTCATCACCATACCCCGAATCATCATAATCTGTGGAAGAATCTCCACCATCAGATCCATGCTCATCAGTGAATCCACTCCCCATACCCGCCCTGATCCTTAAAGCTCTGGTCGTGTCCAAATGTCTCTTCAAACTTGTCGCTCTTATACTTTTATGTTCTTTCGCAGTACTGCGCGAATCAGAATGATAAAAGCGACACACTCCACTAGACATAAACCTTTTGTGTGGCCAACTGTGACCTAGGAAATTAGAACGGCTATCATACTTCTCGTCGTGACTCTTCGATTTAAGATGCTCAGGTTTACCCCGCCAGTCATTCGATCCAACGCCAGGACTGACAGGCGAAGAGGTAGGAGTGTTGTGAGCTAACGGTATCTCGTCTTTTTTGAGGATGTTGATATATAACCTGAATGGGGGTTCCTCCTCCTTTTCCTTCTCTTTCGAATCCGGGTTCTGTTCACCAGGTTCGTCATTTTCTTTAGAAGGAGGAGTGGACGAAGGGGGAGGAGTCTCTTCATTGCTGGACTCTTTTTTGTCAGAATTGCCTGGAGTAGAAGGAGGGGTCGGCGGAGCAAGATTTTGCGCAGTTGCATTCTCACACTCGAGCTCCAGGATCTTCGCCACATCCAAGCTTGAAAACCAAGATGCTACAGTCTTGCCATCATTGACAGACAGAGACTTAAATCTGTAAGGTAAAGAACCATGCCAATCTTCCATATTTGCCTCGTCACTTCCAGTACTGTTGCTTCCCTCCTTCAAAAATGCAACACAATCATCACTTCCCCGATAGATCCTAGTGAGGCGTCCTTTTTTAGTCGGCTTCACACCAGGTATCGTACCCAGGATAGAAGGCATTTGATCCGCAGGACCTTGGATTATAGCATGCCTAGAGATAAGTCCATTCTCCTTCATCTTCCCTTTTCCTTTCTTTCCATTCCCACCGCCATTACCACCAGCTCCAGCACCCGGCGCCATGAAATTTCTCAAATCTATTGGCCCGTTTAGTCCTCTCGCTTTCGTAGCCAGCTGATGAACGTAAGGGTACGGCTGGTTGGAAATCGCTTTGACCGGCCTCGATTCATCTTCCGGTGGTGGTGTATCAGCTCTCATTGGCGGTTTTCGCACAGGAGCAAGTTCAATTTTGGGTTCCTGGTCATCTTCTGAATCAGAGGAGTCGTAGAGGTAGTATTGATGATGGAAACGATGATTTGGGGATAGAGAACGAGGCTGTCTTCTTCTTGATGGACGGCGGTATATAAATCCTACGCTTGTTCTACGTGTACGTCCTGATGATGGGAGAGGGGCGAAGGAGATGTGTCGATTGCTTCTTCTCATTTGTGGGTGTGTGTTGCCTGTATGAAATCAGCTCATGAATCAAATCCCAAAGTTGATGCTACAGAATATTGCAGTCTTCCTATACTAAAGCTCCCCAAATTAATGCCTTAAGAACAAAGACTAAAACTCACGCTGGTTTTGAAGAACATCAGCCACTGAAGATGGTCCTGGGACTGTCCTTGGAGAGGCCGGAATACTATCTCTGGTTCTAGTTCGACCTCTGGACTCATTCGTAGTGCCGTTGTTTGTCCTTGTGACAGAGATTAGCTTGCATTTCTGAAGAAGACCGAACATTTCAACGCCAATTACTCACCGAGGCGCTGGGAATCTTGGCTGAGGCAGCCTCAATGGAGATATATCATGGTCATTAGCCATACTATTAATATTCGCTACTTGTTGTCGCCTCGAAACTCTAGAGCCAATAGTATCAATCCGCGCCGTATTGACTCGAAGAACAGGAACTGGCCCATTCAAGGGCATTACAGAAGATTGCAGCTGGTTGGATTCCAGCTCTTTCTTAGTCCGAGTATAGCGATGATTCCAGTCACACAACATTTCACGAGGAGGGGCCTTTTCGACCATTGGTCCAAAATGAGAGTTAGAGATAGGATCGTAGTAGAGACGGTTCGTAGGAGCTTCTATCGAGTATCCGGGAAGTGGATCCATTCCAACGATATGAGGTTTCCGGAAGTTTCGACACGGAGAAGTAGGAGGTATTCTCGGAGGGTCCATAAAGCTCTCTTGTGAGCTCCAAGAACCAATTTCAAGCTCCGGAACAGTAGTTCCCCAGCTGTGTTTTCGTGGTTGCCATGTTGTTGCAGCTTCGGCGTTGTCAATCACCCGAGAACTTCCAGCAGGTGGGTACTGGTCGCCGCAGAGATACTGAAAATCAGTGGGATAAATTTGAGGCCGCGATCCAGCAGTTGTGCCTTGAGGTAGAAGCTCGTCATTTTCCTCGTCAATAACGATCCGCTTGCCGTTGAGACCTGAGAATCCTCGAATTGAAGTTTTGTCTGTGTGGCATAGTGAGTGGTACTCATACTCACTAGAGGTCGCTCGAGTACGCTGCTTTCCCTTTCCTGCAGGTTTCTCTGTCGGTACTTTTGCTAGCAACGGGGTGGTCTCTCCTACAATAGTTGAGGCTTGACTTTCTTCGCTTGAATAACGTTCTGAGTTTAAGTCTAGTGATTTATCGAGCAGTGCGTCATGATTGTACTCGTCTTTCACCTTGTGGACCATAGTTCGCGAATTCAAGTCCCTGGTCTTCGTATGTGCCTTCATGAACAACACACCACTCTCATCGGAACTCGTTTCCTGACTGTGTTGGTACAAAGTCGGCTTTTTGTTTCTGTTAAAATATGGGGATTTCGGATTTGAGTTGACAGTCTCTCCGACAGTCCCTTCCTCAGCAATATTCCCAAGCCCAATTTTCTTTCCAGCGGTGTTGGAACTGGAAATCGCAGGAGTATTAAGAGTGGCCAAACTCCGGTCGATGGGTAGACTACGAGATTTCCCATAAAGAATTCGTTTACGAATCGCAGGAGGAATGCCATTCTTTTGCAAATTACTGTGTCGAGTTTTCAATCTCTCAATCCGAGTCCAATTAGGCGAGCGATCTCTTTTGTCAATAGGCGAGTAACCTGTGTTCGGTGATTCGAATCCGAAAGTGCAGCTGCTCTGGTCTTCTGATGAAAAGTATGGAGTCGTATCACCTGGTACTGTAAAGATCTTTCTGCCTCGAACTTTGTCTACGTCTGAGTCAGAAGATACCAGTTCATACTCATCAAGTCTTCTTGTGCCTCTCTGCCTCCTGATGGAATCAGCGTGATCCAATCCATCCAAAGAATCAACATCGGAATCTTGGGATTCCTCTGAGAAACAGGAATCTACCTCTGAAGTGGGTGAGCTGCCTCCTGAACATGGAACTTCTGAGGAATCTTCTGCATGAAAACGAGTAGTTTGTTTCAAAGGAGAAAGACGTGCCCGGTTCAAGAAGTATGAAACATCGTCAAGTACGACTACCTCTCTCTTGTCGTCCTCTGACGACTCAGTTGGTCTCACTTGGCAATCACCAAGCCAAGTTATAGTATAAGCTGGGCTTGAAGGAGGTGTTGAATGTCGGGACTTCACCTCAGACTCTTCGTCAACAGCCGGTACGGGGAGAACGTCTGACTTGCCATTGGTAGACTGGTCTGCTCTCGAATTGAGATATTTTGGCAGGTCTTTTGAAGGCAGGGCTCTCAACCGCGGTTTTGCTGCAAAAGACGCTTTTGCAGAGGGAGGGAGGTTTATTGATAGTGGTTCGGCGGTCCTATTTGTTTCTGTTGGAGCTGCAAGGAAGAAATTAGTCACCTTGCTAACGAAGGCTTATTCAAAAACAATGTAACGATCTTTTGGTGTGTATTAACAATTTTGTGCACATACCTGTTGACTCTTTGAAATATTTTGCATTGAGACTACGGCGAATCTTGCCAGTAGTAGCCACATCGTCGTTGTAGGTCGTGTGTACAGCGACATCTCTTGCTAGGACAGATTCTGTTAGATGCTTTGCATGAGTGGCAAGTGAGTATCTTGTATCGGATGATTGTTCTGTGAAAGGGGTGCAAGTGGTATTCAAGGATGCAGGACCAGAAATTGGAAGTTGTTCAACTGAAGTGTTGCGATCTCCGAGAAAACGAGAGGATTCCAAGAGTGCGTTAATGACGAGAGGTAGTTGTGAGGTATGACGTGCTGTAACTAGTCAGCACTGGTTGTATTTCTGTGTTTGTGTGCCCGAACTTACAATGTAGCGTTGGTCTTTGTGGTTTGCTTAACGTTTGGGTGTTGTTATCTCGATCCATGGTGTGTAAGTAATTTTGAAATTCGACAAGTAAGTGGTTGGGTTTGTGATGCTCTCGCGTGTTCTCGAGTCGGAGACGTGGTTAGCAAATGCTGCAAAGAATGTGTTGCCACCGGGATATAGTATTGATGATGTTGGTTGAAGAACCTCCAGATGGATTTTGAGATAGAGAACATGTGGAGGCGACACAAGCGGTCGTTCTTTCCAATTGAGTGTACCTGCCTCTCGAGACCACCTACCTCACGGATGTGAGATGGGCATCTAGGACTTAAGCGAGCCGCACTTGCCTCACAAAAGGCGAACTCAACCAAATTAAGGAGCCACATCCCAGCAACCCAAGTGCGATACAGCAGAAGTTTTGTGGAAATTTTGAGCATTATATACAATGATCTCTGTAAATTACCACCGCTGACAATCGCCTGCAGCAATTTGCATGCTCAGCTTCTCCGTTGCTTGTGAAACGTCGTCGTCCCAGCTGCATCGTTCTGCCCTTTTGGCATTTTGAATTTACATAGGCACATCAAAATTGTCATGAATCTGAGGATTTTAGAAAGCCGATGATTTCTATATTGATGAAGATGTGCTATTGGGGTGCGTCTTCTCATGCCTTTTTCCTTTCGTCGAATCCATTCATTCCTCGGAGCTCAAGCCAAGTCGAAACCATAGTTTCGGCAGAGGTTATAAGAGCGGAATGAAGAAAGTGACTTCTTCTCCACTGCCGTGTAATAACATAAATTATCAACTTCAATGCTCCTTCTCCTTCTTCCCGGCATAAATCCGATCCCACCTCAGTAGGACTTGACCAGAAGGTCTAGAAGATAGTCCAATATGTGCCGCTTCACTTTTGTAATCGTCCTCGACATAATACTTAATCGGGGGCCTCTTCTTCAAAACTCTAGCGATCTCCTTATTTGAATAGGCACAGACATCCGACCCTAGGTCCTCTCTCATAGCTTCGGAGAGATCAGCAATAGCTCGCCAGATCCCGAGATGGCGCTTCTTCTTGCATAACTCGCTATTGAATTGGCATTCCATCCAGAGAACGTACATCCCAAAAAGCCAGATGGAATTGGCACCAACTACGACTACAAACCATTCATATGTGAAGCCCCACTGGTTCAAAGTTAGCGAGTTATCTCAAGGCTCAAAATTGTGTAAACACCTCATAGATCTTACTTGGTAAACGTTATTTTTTGTATCGCAAACGAAGTTGCTCTTATTTGATGGCCAGAATTCCCATTCGGCCCAATGCTCAATTTGACTGGTTTTGGGATCAGCCTACCATCGAGCCCACCACGAGGCATTGACAACTTCATTCGACCAATCGTAGGTATTCATTTCTTTTTTAATAAGGTCTGATTTATCCGGTTGATCACGTTTCTTGTTGTATGTTTTAGCGGATTGGAAAAATTGGGGGTAAGAAGATATGTACTTTGGTAGCGGCGTGTAAGAGAAATCTCTCCACACACTATCGCGATCTTCATAATAGCTGGCACATACAATATGAGTAGAGACAATCGACGAATTTGTGATTTCCGGAGCATAGTAATAGGGCCGGGAATAATAAGCTTAGATTGTTGTCAGTTAATTCTTACTAAGCCGGAGCGATGCCCAGACGAGAAAAGCCACCACAACTGAGAAAGCATTCGTTTTACTTACTCGGTCTTAAAGTATTATAATAATGAATATCGTTTATTATTTCCTCGACACTCTGCAATTCTCCACCGGGCCACTTGAAACTTGATACCTTGTCCTGAAGTAAGCATTTGCCTGCTACCAATTTCTACAACACTCTTACCTGGGCTGCATCGTATCCAGAACAGGCATCCAAAAGACTACGTTGATACTGTCAGTCATCATTCGGAAGGTAGAACACAGGGAAATCTACAGACCCTGGAAACGCAACCAGATATATCGTTGACAAAAACAGCCAAGTGAATATTGCTTTCACTCGCCAGTTTCCATATTTACCCAGCCCCTTCGACAGTTGCCATATCATCTCAATTTTGTTAGATGACACAGTCACGCAGGCTTATAGCTCTATTGCCCGGTTAGTGTATTTCTTTGGATAGATATAAGGGCAAATAAACATACCGTAAGACATCGGTGTAAGTTCAGCAGCTCGCATTATTGCATCGCAGAAAACCCGATAGGCAAGTATTGAGAGAACACATTGCAGACCTCTTCCGATTATCCAATTCCACGCTAGATCAATTGCCTTTGCGGTGCCGAAACTGAAATCTGTAGCAACTACAAGATTGATTCCCACCCAGGACCATCCGGTACCTCGATTACATTCAAAAACAAAAGGGGCAATGTCCACTTTTCTAATGCTATCAGTACCCGAGGTGACGGCAAGAACAGGTATAATTATTAAACAGATGAAAACCATGAATATCAAAATGTGCTTTACGACCTCCCTCCCTTGCGTGGATCCATCTACCAAATTTCAATCCCAAGAGTCGGATTTTCCTCCGAAAAGACTTCGGTTCCACGGGAGCGGCTTTCCGATAGGTGAGATCCTCGTCATTCAGTGGCGTTTTGTTTTCTCTCGGCTCATCCAAGCCTATCGAAAGGTACGGCGGTGCTGAATCTTCCGCATCATGATAATTGGGTGCCGTGGATTCCATATTCTCTAAGTCTATCGGGTCGTATGTGGATTTCTTTCTAGATATAAACCTTGGACGCCATGAAAATAGAGATTGATCCCCTGGTACTTTTTGGTGATCGGAAGAACCTAGTATACGAGGGGGAGCTGCAATTGTACTTTGTTGCCTCGAAACTAGAGGTATTTCGGTGCCATCATTTCCAGCTGCAAGCTGAGAGTGCGAGGAACGATTCATTCCTAATGCAGGATCACGCTAAATTCGTATGGGAACAGAAATTTTGCGTATTGAGAGAGGAAATTGGTCGTTACGATATGAAGCAATAACCGTGATCATTACACAAGTGATGGAGTCTGTTTTAAACAATTAGTAAAACAGCCTCATCTGCGACTTTCTCGTTGAACCTACCATGAATGCAGTATAGCAGCGATATAAGCTTAATTTTAAATCATCCTTTGAATCAATTTTGCGGCCCGGTTTGTTTTAGGACTTTGTAGGGACGAACATGAGTATCTAAGTGTCCACTGTCCAGATCACGGGTGGATCGGCTGCTTCGCCGTCCAACTGCATATACGCCACAGCCACACTCATCACGACAAATCATTTCCTCTAGTGGTTGATTTGATGATGAAATCTTAAAGCATGGATGTCAAAATTAAATTGTAGTGCATAAAACTAGGAGGCTCTGCATTCGAGAAAGGGTGCGTGTGCGAAAGGAAGAAGGGCGCAGAAGCTGGAGCCTTGGAAGTCGCCACCAGTCCTGCCACAACACTCCTCCCCCACAGATAGTTGTTTACCGGTCCAGATCTCACCGCATGAGCTGTGCATCTTTGGTGTTTCAAAATCGGTGAGAAGGAATAAGGTTACACAAGGCGGCCATTTCGCCAAGACATAACTCGTGACATCAAGCCCCAATATAGTTACATCAACGACCTGGGAAACGAATAGTAATTGGTGATCATAATTAAATTTTCTTGTGCCCACTTTTAGCACCTTAACATCATGCGCGAACTTTGATTCAAACAGTCGAATTCTAGTCACGTGGTTTATGGAATTTTCGGGCCTCGATTTCTAGAAGAAGAATATATAGCATGGGTTTTCTCTAATGGGTTCATCACTCTAGGTGAACGAAATTCGAAGAGATTGAGGTTGTTCTCGATTTGGTTATGTTGAATTTTGGGACATTTTAAAAGGGAAATATTTTAAGCGAAAGTGGCTCTAACGTGAAAAGGGGGGCTCTGCGGGGACAGAATGAACGTCCGTGTTTCAACCTACATACCCTGTACTTAAAAACAGATCACAAACGCCACATCAATCATAAAAACCTACAAAAATCTCGGTAGACTTGGAATCGCGTTAATTGCTATTGTAGCAGTTCTTAGACATTCCTTCGGTGTTATTGTATGGCGCTACAAAGTTAAAAAAGGAGCGCTTTTAAGGGGATAAACTTTGTCGTTCATTCCTTCTCAGACATTACAATAGTGATTGGTCATTGTTCTCCATCTTCATATAGAAAGATTCAATGCCAGTCATATTCTGCCAGATCATATAGGTAGCAATAGTTATATATAAGTCGGAAAGAGCTAGCAACTATTTGAGCCTCTATCCTTAGTCGGTAAACTTTAAGTAAGTCTAGTTGAAGTTTGAGCTTCTTTTAGACCAGATTATTTAGCATCAAAACTATATAGCCTCCTGCTTTTGCTTGTTCACTCTTTCTGCTTCTTTTGAGCGCCTCTTCAATAAATTTTAGTTTTTGTACAGACAATATTCTCAAATGGAACTTGACCCTCCTTTTCAACATTCCTATACAATTTTATTCTGGTACGCTGTACCAATAAAAATAAAAAATACCAAAAACCTCACCTCCTAGATGAGCCACCCCACCAGGATCCAGGACGGTGAAACCGATCCAGGCATAAAATATGGTGACAACCAAGCCAAATGACCATAGAGGCAAACCAAAAAACACGGGTGTTTTGGGACTTGATAGACATGCGACTGCTAATAGGCCCGCGTTGACAACGCTCGCTCCTAAAGCACCTTCGCATGTCGGAAGCTCACACCCTGTATAACGGTGGACTAGCTCAAAAACAACGAATGCGATAACCATCGAGGTTGCGATTGAACCAAGTACAAGTTGAAGAAGTTGGTAAGGGTGGAGCCTAGGCTTGCCATCTCCAGACGGGGAAAGTAACTCGGTTGCGCAGAAGTGCCACAGAAGCATGTGCCGAGAAAATGTAAAGGATTGTACTGGCTGACATGGCTGAGAAGGAGAGAAGGCCAGGTACTCGAAGTCGTACAAATGAAATTGTGGGCCATGAATCTTAATAGTGAGACTATAGTACGGAGCTGGTTATGGTCGGTTATGCCCAAAGGAATTCCGTCGAGACGAACGAGTAGTCTTTTGACACTGAGCCGCTGGACCGGCCATCCTACGAGCTCGGGGTAACGGCCCTGGATCTTTCGATACTTGCGAGACCAGCTCACCAGTTCTATGAGACCGTCCGGTTTGGGGATCACAGGGCTTTCGGGAAGCAGAATGAGACCGAGCTGTAAAAGAAGGAAATCCCAAGCCAGAAAAACTATCAAGTTGATGGCGATAAAGCCCCATACCACCAGCCTCTCAAGCCTCTTTGCGGATCTCGAGCTCGGAGCACTGCGCCCTAAAAGACGATTGTGGTTTAGAGGTCATTTTCTGTTTGCGGCCAACGAATTGTTGAGAACTGTTGTAGAATGTTCTTCGATATTTCTGTTTTCGGCTATCGTGAACTAGATTACGAAGTGACGATCGTATGATTTTGAATAGTCTTTGTTGCATCCTTTCATATTGTTATCGGACTTTGAGAGGCAGAACAATATTAACAGACAGCAATTTGGTACCCATAACAATCCATGACAAAGAGAAGTTCGTATAGTAACGAATCGCATAGTGGGAATTCTTCGTGTTTTGCGCCTCCTGTGGCGGTGTATAGCGAAAAATGTGTTATCCGAGCGAGAGGGGGAGACGACGATAATATCCACTAATTATAAGGAGTTTAAATGGATATGTTTGGGGAATTTATGAGTACGATACTTAATTTCACTGTACACATCTGTATAGATCCTGGTGCATGGTTTTGGACGCCTGAATTTTGTATGATGCGCTTTGATATTTAGGAAATTCGTTAGACAAATTATACAACGCTCGCCTTAATTCGCTCTATGACTATTGCAAAAACCTTCCGCAAAAACCTTCTGTTCATTGAGCCCAGAAAACAGCAAAATACACAAACTCCAACGTATGCAAAAACGAGATATAAATAAGCTCACATTCCCTTTAAATGCAAGCAAAGAAGGAAATTAAGAACAGGCGGTAGCCAATGCCCTAAAGACCAGAATCTATTTGATCAACGACCTCCCTCTCCGTATATGCCCACCAGTCTCTGCAAGTCTGAGCTATGATTGATGGAATTTGAGCTTTCTTGATGTCGTCTGGACGCTCAAGGACGGTGACATAGAGCCCTGCAGAAACATGCCATGCCTATGTAACCACTAGTTAGCCTTACCCTGAACGGAAGCATCAACAAAAGAAAGAAAGGAGGAAAACCTACGATATGGCAATGCAGCGGCCAAGTACCCGGATTATCAGCCCTAATTTCCATCACCATATACCCATTCGACCGCAAAATGTGTACATCTCTCCTCTGTGGGTTATCTGGGTTGATAATAGTTTTTCCATCCCATCTACCCGGTCCCTCGGCCAGCAGGAAGAAATTGTGGCCGTGCATATGCATAGGATGAGGAATAGGCGGTCCATCATTATTGATGATAATTCGAATCGAGCTACTGCTTCCGAAGTTATACACGTTCCATTCTGGATGATCATCGAAGTTGTCAGTGCCAGTAGCTGCAAGGAGGAAGACAGGTTGGTTGAAATTTGCGCGGAAAGAGACATTGTTCATGGACCATAAGAAGAATCCGGTTTCGTTTTGCCCAAATGTAATGCTGTACGTTTCTGTTTTTGCCGGTTCCGGCTCAGGTTTAATGGGATACCAGGGTATGGTCTTTGCAAGGTCATCATTTGCACATATGTTTTTAACAGAGTCGAGAAATTCTGGCCAAGGCGTTGATGTTGGAGGTTCGAGATGTAGAGCATCGGTGCTGAAGGCTTTTGGGTCGAAGCTTTTATTGTCGAGGTCCTCGGGATTTTGAGAATCATTTGGAGTGTTTCCATATGGATTATAGGTACCCGGAGGAGTGTTGGCATCTGTAGTGTTGTCGTCTGGAATGTGGTCATCGGGAGAAGTATTGGTATCCGAGGTGTGGTCATCTGGAGTGCTGGCATCAGTTGGCACCACATATGGAGTGGATCCGACATTATCATAGTTGTAGTGGTCATCGGGAGTGTTGGTATCAGTTGGCACCACATATGGAGTGGATCCGACATTATCATAGTTGTAGTGGTCATCGGGAGTGTTGGTATCAGTTGGCACCACATATGGAGTGGATCGGACGGTATCATAGTTGTCACGGGCATCAATGGAGACTTCGGGTTCATAATATACGATGGCAGTTGCGTCCGGATTTCTGGCTACCGAGCAAGGCGCGGCAGCGATAGAAGCTCGCATCAGATACGTCTTGATATCACTAATTGGAAGACCAACGATGAGTACATCTGTTCTCTGACCGATCCCGAGTGTTACAACTGATTTCATATGAGCATTTTCCACGTTGGACTGGGAAAGTGTTAACTAACCTTTGGTCTCATAAGGAATAATAGGCACGAAATCATTCGCGATGACAAGCATAACGTGCCCATCCACAGAAAACTTTTGAACGCCTTCTGACCCCGGATTGATCAAACGAAGCCGGTGCACCTTTTCGGGTGTAAATTTGAAGTTACCAATCCCAGCATTGTTAATGCATGGACTAGTGTCGCTTTCTAGCTTTTGTGAGCAATCATAGTTGTTTTTGCCGTTGATGAGATTGTTGTCACTCATGGGTGCCTAGACCAATTAACTTCTTCCTCCTAAAATAATTCAGATGACATTGGAATTCAAAGCACTTACGGTTTGATTCTGATTGGTGCTCACGACCCCCTCAACGAGATCTTGGTAATTGGCGTGATAATAATCGCTTAGTAAAATCGGCCCAAGGTCAATGTCATAATGCTCAGTTTGTGGCCCGTAAATTACAAGAGGTCCAATCAACCCATCACCATATTGCGCAGAGTAATGAGAGTGGTACCACGTGGTTCCTGAAAATATCAGCAAATGACATCTCGTGATGAATCGCCCAAAACCTACCGTAAAGATCAGCCAGAAAGCTGTAGCTGAAACTTTTCCCGGGAGCAATAGGACATTGTGATACCCCTGGTACACCATCCATGTACTGCTCATTCTTCTGGAGGATCCCGTGCCAGTGTATAGCGGTTCCTTCTTCAGGGCCCGTAATAGCGTTGTGTACGGTGACCTGAATAGTATCGCCCCTGGTGTTTTGTCAGCGAATTGTATCAATTACCATGGAGTGGGAATGATTACCAGTTTGCTTCTATCAAGGGACCAGGAAATTGACCATTGACCAACAGCATTTCCTTTTCGTAACCATCTGGGGACTTTACTTCGCGAGTAATTGTGAAGTCGTATTTTCGGATAACCCTAAGCAAGATTAGCACTCTGTAACTTCAAGCTCCAAAATGCTACTTACCCAGTCACCGGTGGTTCAACTTTTCGAGACATCATTTAGCACATACATGCTATTTTCAAAGGTACTCGAACTTACGGTCTAAACGGAGTTAGCGAGTTATCATGATAAATGGGAGAGAAGTTATTCACATGGATCTGTGTTATTTGCAGTCTTTGGGCCCCAAGGATATCCATGAGGCATAGGCTGTGAGGGTTCGAGTAAGTATCGCGTTACTGAAACAAAAGAAAACATTGCTGATGTGAATGAGTGGGTATATACTAACAGTAACTGGATCATCCGACTGCAGATATGTATCAGAGCACGAATATTCCGCTGGAGAAGTTAGCATGAAAATCTTTTTGCGCCAATGAGAAGATTTCTACCTTGACCATTGACTAATAGCGCTAAAGGAAGAGCAGCGAATACAGCGATGCCCCGAAGAGCATTGGAGTAGTAAGACATTGTGGCCGTTCTTCGATAATGTCCTCCTGGTGAGATATAGAAAGAGAGACAAAAGTGTTTCAATCGTCAGGAACGAAGCTAGGAAGGAAATGTGGGTTCAGGAATTATATATTCAAACTTGTTGTCACCCATGTCTAGATTGAGCAGGGTATTCGGTCGACACACAGGGGAGGCGCAATTAAGGTTTAAGTGGTACCATACCAATGGCTGGGTGTTGATTATCTCCCCAAGTATACTAATGGTTCTTACGAGTAGTACGGCGTATAATTGACCTGATAATACTAGCCAGCCCACGCATCGTGAACAGGGGAAGTTCACATATGTGGCCAACACGGGATGATAGCAATAATCTAAAGTTTTCCGAGTACTCGAATAATTTGAGAGTTTGTGAAGAAAGGAACAGGTGGCGGCCTTACGTTGAAAAACAGCCACGGTAAGTGACGGAAAACGTGGCAGGATATCTGGTTTCATTTGTCAACTGTAGCAAACTGTATATAATCAGAATGTGTAGGTGTGAAGGAATTATAACCTGACAGTTTTGATGGAGAAAGGCAATTCAAAGTGTTCTTTTGTGTAACTACAAGTCTACAAACCACGGCAGCGTCTGGTATGCAGAGGTAGGTAGTGAAAAGAATCCGACAAAGGGGAACTGCAAAAGATGCTGCCTGCGGAAAGAGTCGTGAGATCCCTTGAGACTCATGTTTGTTGAAGCTTCGATCACAAGAGGATCATTTCCTCCTTCTAGAACCTCTAGGGTACTACTGACAACTGGAATAGTACATTGCTATTCCTGGTCATCAAGGAGCTAGCTACCCGTATCGGTAGGAGCGCAGCAAGCGGAAAAGATTGAAAGGTCAAAGCAGTCCGGCTTTTTTTATAGCGGCTGAACTATTAATATCAGGTCAGTATTATAGCATACAAGCGCGACAAACGAAAAAGGTTAAACTTAAATATCAATGGTTTACAGAGCTATCTCAAATGTCGATGACCATCACTTATTTACTCCAGGTTAACGGTCGCATGGAATTTTTGGTGTGATAACTGACTTGAAAGCTTTCTGGTCGTAAGGCTATAATCATGTAGACTCGTTCCAATCACGTTGTCTGAGCCTCGATCGAGATCAAACACTTATTGATCTAATGATGCGTTCTGAATAAAAGAGAAAACGGAGATGGCGGTGAGGTTTGTGACGAGGATATCTTCATTTCTTCTCGATGATTTTTGGCTTCGTGACGTGGAGGCTTTCGTGATGTGTTTGTAACCCAGGAGTTGGTGCGAGGTCGGTGAGGTTGGCGAGGATGAAGTCCAGCCCCCTGAAACCGCGCTTAGGACGCCCAGTGATCATGCTACCAGTAGACATCTGGTGGTCAGCCATCACCACTAGCCACACTCTCTACTAAAAATAAACAATATAACAGCAGAGACATTTTCTCCTGGTCAACAGCCTACCATATTACTAGGAGTAGCGGTATCAATGAGTGAGGAATACAACGCATAAGCGCAACCTTCTTGGCGATGTGATCGACGTGCAAGCCACCGGCTAGGAGACCATTCACGACACTCAGTACTGATTGCAAGGATATGTTGACATGAAGGAGTCCATTGTTCCTCGGGCTAGGAAGTTTACCCGGTGTTCCAAAAACAGTCATTCGACGCCTTTTGACCTACAGAAATCGTAGACGCAGATAGTTATTGTGAATGGGTTGAGCCACAATGCGCCCAAGAGAGCGCGAAGTACACAAGAATATCCGCAAAGCCTCACAAAGTTTAATGTGTAGGCTTATGCGGGTATCCCACAAGATCTAGCTCATACCGTGCCGCAACCTCGGCCAGTTGGACAGGCTAGGAGTTGACAAGAAATCTAAGAAAGAAGAATCCTTTAATCTGGAGAGGCTTAGGTCCTCCTCTATAGTTCGCTTTGAGTTAATAGCCGACCAAGAAATAAGGTGCTACCTACACCCAAAATCGTCACTGTATAACATAATGTTAACCTAGCTGAAGAACCTTAAGATATTCGTTTCTTTTCTACTGGGATTCAGACCGTGAAATTAGAGAGGAGCCGGAAAATCGACTCCCCCCATTTCTTTCTTCTGATATAGTTGTCTCTGACTGCATATATACACCTATACTACGTACTTCATTTTTCGAGGTTATAGCTGCTGATGATAATATAAGAAATCGCTAGAGTCTCCCGGTACTTAGTCACTCTAAATATAAACATAATATCCCTACCAGACCCGAGAGTGCCGGGTGCGGTAGTGCGTTCCTGGGAGAGTAAAATTATCTACTTTCTAAATACTGTACGCGTGCATATATACTGCTAATACTGATTACAAATACGAGTACATAATACATAGTACTAGTAGTAGTAGATATATTATAATTTGGGGACGACGTTATAAAGGAAAATAGAAGTAGTGATTTCTATAGAATCTCTAGATATTTCCCTCTATACTTATACGCGTCACTATACAATTTATTATAGTAGCTAGTAAACGGAGTAGAGAAATTTTTTATATCTTTATTACTGTTTTTTTACATGTCGAGGTTTAACGTTCCTAGATCTATATAAACCTACTATCGCTATAATATCCGAGTGAATATACTCGGTGGCACGGACCACCTAACTAGGCTGGTCCTGCCTATATTATCGCGGTACGACTTCTATACCTTTAACTCGGTATATATTAATAATAGGAATAGTCTAATACTAAGGTTTAGCCTTTTCCTATATTATACCTTATATTTAATAATAAAGTTAAACTAATACTAATTAGTATTACGCGCGTATAGATTAGAGACTTATAATACTTTTAAGACTTTATTCATAAAGCTATTTATACTTTAAATAAGCTAGAAGTACTTAATAACTCTACTACTATAAATTACTAGAATACTACCCTACTACCTTCTAAAAATATACTAGAGATACTAGAGATAGTAGAGCACCTATATTATCTTCTTAAATAATAGTAGATACTACTACTAGTAATCCGGATAGTTTCCTACCTCGGCTAAGTAAAGGAGACTATCTACTAACTAAATATAGTTTAAGTTAAGTACCTAAACTAAGTAATTAAAATCTCGATAATAATATAGAAAATAATCTAGATTATCTTAACCTAACTTAAGGAATATAGAGACTTTAGGATATTAAGGAACGTATTTAAGGCTAACTTGATAATATTATATTGGGTTGAAAGGGTATTGGGTACTGAAGGTCATGGAGAATTGATTGCATTGTAAAAGGTAGCTATCTAAGGTGTTTATATAAATGTAACGAATACTCAAACTGGCTAACTAAACTTGGCTGGGTGTTCGCTGGTTGGTATGCTATGATAAGAAGAAGACTATCGGGTTGTTCACTTGGAAGTGAACTCGTTACTTGTATCAAAGATGTCAAACTAATATGATAAGATTGATAACTAAGTTGAGCACGAAGCTCCCATCTAATGGCAGACGTGCCAGTCTTATATAGAACCTTCATCCTCAAGTACTATGATCTGGGTAGCCAACTCGCCTGTCGAGCTGGCGGTCCGTTTCGCTAGGTCGCCGAGCGATCCAGCGATCCAACTTAATCATGTGACCATAACCAATGGAAATCCCTGGATTGCTTAGCTACCCAAAGCGATCCCTATTTGCTATAAGAAACCTGGGTATGCCTGTCGAGGGTTGCGCCTCTTATTATGACAAGTATCACGTGAGCACGTGATTCGTGACAATAAAGAGTGTAAGGTTTAGGCAGACATGAAGCATTTAGGCAGCAGAACTATAAGTGGATCAAATAAGGAAGTGGAGCAAAAGAGAAAGTAGACCCAGCACAACATATTACTTAGAGAACTAGAAACCTAAGAACTTAAATAAATAAGGTAGATAAGGTAGTATCTAAGTATTCGGATTTTAGTTTTAATAGATCTATTAATTAAGTATCCTTAATTATAAACGGTCTACTATACTAATATACTATTAATAGTAATCCGGTTTAGGATAAGATAACTAGAGTAGGACCTACTCCTAACCCTCTAGGAAATCGAGGCTAGATATATACGAAAATATCTAATACCCGCCGCGGGCCGTCCCGGGGTATAAAACTATCCCTAGCGCGTATATTTTCGTATACTAATAGTAGGCGTAAAACCTTAAATATTATACTAAAGACGTAGTTCTAATAGAGATATATACTTATAAACATTATAATATAAAATCTACTTAATTCTCCTACTAATCCCCTATAGTATATATAACTATCTAGCTATATAATAAGCGAGGTCTAAATAGCTTATCTTACCTAACTCTAACCTAATTATATAAATAATAAAAGACGTCCCCTAAGATATTCCTCTAAATAAAGAAATCCTACTATACTCTAATCTTCTTAATACTAAGAAGTCCTTCTAATAACCTTTATAAGTACCCTCTGAAGTTCCCCCCTTATTTATATTTACTATAAAGAATCCTTGTCTAATAACAAACTCTCTCTACTTTCGTATATAATATAAAGAATATATATATAAAGAACTTTTATTACTCTTATACCTTCTTTAATAAATCTATATACAAAGAACTACCTTTACTTTTATATATCTTTTAATAAATACTTATATAAAGAACTACCTCTATATCTAGCTATAACTCTAATGTCCCCCTTTATCCTTTATAATACGTTAAGGGCTACTAAGATAAGTAGTAGTTATTATATTATAAATACTATTAAGGGCTACTAGAATAAGAAGTAGTAGTTATAAAAACCTAGTAAGTTTTTAAAAGAGTAAAGTATAGTATTAAAGCTAAGTAGTAAAAATTCGAATATATATATAGAGTTACTTAATCTAGTAGTAAAAAGCTTTATCTAAATATTAAAATAAATAGCTATATCTTACTATTAAAATAAGTATTATTATTAAATCCTATAACGTAGTCCACAAGCGAGTTGGATTCCCAAGCGAAATGGATTTTTTTCTTGGCACTCCACAAACTTATTCAGATCGCGTTTTTTCTTAACAAACAAAATGGTTAAGCATTGGACAGAGTCTGATATGATTCTTGCGTTAAATACGCTTCGTACGAACCCACATTTAAAGGTTAAGAAGGTTGCGCGGATCTATAAAGTACCTTATACGACATTGCTTAATCGAACTCATGGAATATTATCACGACAAGATTCTATCGCTAAATCTCGAAAACTTACAGAGATTGAAGAAATAGTGATCGTACGACATGTTCTCGACCTAGATTCTCGATTATTTCCCCCACGAGTACGTTGTGTTGAAGATATGGCGAATCGTATCCTCTCGGAGCGGGGTGCAGGACGCGTTGGCAAGAACTGGACTTCGAACTTCGTACGACGACAACCTGAACTTAAGACGCGTTTTAATCGAAGGATTGATTATCAAAGAGTCCAATGCGAAAATCCAGACGCGTATAACGCGTGGTTTCGC